CGGTCTTATTTTCAAATAATGCGTTAAAATGTGGAAGTGACACTATAATATTGCTTCTAAAGGCATCCCGTTTTTGAGAATTCCACTTTATTCTGGAATGACTATATTCATTTTCAACTTCCGGTTCCTTATACATAAGTGCGATGATGCTGAACTGTAACATAGCATGATCTGAAAACATGGTAAAATCACTTGTGCCGAATGTACCAATTCGCCCCAAGTTAGCCTGGTGACACAGTAAATAATCAATTGTTGAACAACCATTGTGTCCGTAATATGTGAAGGAACCCTTATCTAAACGCCCATTGCAAATGCGTAGCCCAGTAGCTTTACATAAATCAAGTAGTTGTATGCCATAATTGTTAAACACTTTGTCAGAATTTGTCCTTGGAATAGGTTCATCTGGTATGTACTCTTCGTTATCGATGATCGAGTTTATACGATCGTTCACAATATAATCAGGTTTCGAGCCTACACGGGAATTAAAATCCCCGCCGACCAAAACCGTTCCTAACGCCTGAAATTCGTTAATATCAGTCTGTAGTAAGTCAAAAAGATTACAATTGACAACATCGTACGCAGGCGAATCTTCACCCCATAGATATAACAAAAAGTGTCAATTACATTTAATTGTTGTTGTTATTTAGATACAGTCTCTGCACAGTTTGCTACATCATCGGCAAACATTAGACATAATATATCAGGTATATCATTAGTAATAAATATTCCTGTGCCACAATTTTGTCTAAGTAAGATAGACAACTCATTGATAAAAAGTATTTATCTCCCTGTCTTGTTCCTATGTTACACGGGAAAAAAATCAGTTAAACCGTTTTGTGTTTTCACACAAGACTTTAATTCGGAATACATACATTTTAAAACCCTTAAAAAATTACCATGAATGCCTATTTTCTGTAGTGAATCAAATAATTTTGAATGGTCAATTTTATCAAAAGCTTTTCGGAAATCGACATATAAACAATAAAAACGACCACCTTTTTTAGACAAGTATTTTTGTATCATGGCTTGTAAACAAAAAATATTACCAATAGCTGAGTAATTACACCTGAAACCTGCCTGACATTCGTCTATTTTATTATTTTCTTCAGCCCAATTATATAACATTTTATTAACAACGCCAGAAAATATTTTATACATTGTATTTGTGATAGAAATGCCCCGATAATTGTTCGGTAAGGAAGACGACCCAGATTTGTAAACTGGCCATATAATGCTTTGACCCCAAGTATTTGGAAAATTTCCTGTTGTTAAAATTGTGTTAAACAGCAGTAACAAATGTTCCCCGATGTCCTGGCGTGAATATTTGAAAAATTCAGAAGGAATCCCGTCGAATCCAGAACTTTTATTATTTACAAGTTTAGAAATAACTGATTCAATTTCACATAATGTAAAAGGTAAATTTAGTGAATTCGCACTTTCATCAGAAGATACATGTTCGTTATTTACGTGTGACGGCACTTTTACCGCGTTTGCGTCATACAATAGTTTATTGAAATAATCATACCATTCTTTAGAAGAAATGCTATTGCTTGTTATATTATTTTGTGGTTTGGCTGATTTCAATTGTTTCCAAAAAGAAATGGCGTCAGTGCTGTTCACTAAGTTATATCTATTTTTACTTTGGTATTCGAATTTCTTTTTATCACAGCATATTTTAAATTCATTACGACTAGTTTTATATAATCTCAAATCATTTTGTGTATTCGTGTTACAAAAATGACGTAATAATTGATATTTTCGTTTCTTCAATCTAAAACATTCATCATCCCACCATGCAGGTTGATTAGAACTAAATTTAAACTTAATTCTCATACACTCGCCAGCTTCATGATAAATCTGAGTTAATAAATTTATATACTCATCAATGTTTTCGTTAAGCTTTTGTATTAATGTATCATTTTTCTCATGCAAAAGGTTTCGTTAACTATTCACGAAAATTTCATTATAATTATTTTTTGCAGCGGAAGTTTATCATATTAATATTAGTACACGTGTTTGTTTGATAAAGTGTATCTTGCACAGGTATTTTTATCTTAAATTCTAAATTGCAACATAGAGGAAAATGGTCTGAATCGTCTTTATCTAAGACTTTAAAATATTTAACATACTGAAAAACATTTGTTGAAACAATCATATAGATTAAATATCCCATCCTGGTGATCCTTTGATTAATTGATAAGTATACCAAAACCCGCCTCTCATCGTACATTGACGTACAGTGTGTAAAACAGTTGAAGATCTGAGTATAATGACAAGTTCGTACCGATTGAATGAGTTAAATGTAAAATAGAGCAAACACAAACCGATTTTGATTACTGCTGAACCTGTGGGTTTTATCGCCTTAGTATATACGTTACAGTCAAATAATTTAAATATCTGATTATTAAATGACCTACTTGAGGATAATGTACATATTGTTACAATTTTGATTAGATATAAAATTAATGTTTATATTAGATTGAAATCAATCAGTAGACAATTAAACATTGATATACATTTGTATCCGGATATATTATGGGCTATATCTTTAATTATGATTGCAGGTTAGGATTTCGTTACTATTTGTTCCGCTCTTTAATTTTATTTGTATAAAGTGATTATGTTTACGTGTAAATTTAAGAGAAATGTAAGAATAATGAAGACATTTTTAAAGATATAAAATAGATGATGCCCTTGTAGGTGGGTAATGATCATAAATGTACTTATAGTGTTCATCCATGGTGTTCTACATAAAAATAGAAACTTCGACGGGAACGATAGCGACAGGAGAATTTCTAATTTCTGTAGAACAGCTACGGATGAATACTAACATATTTAATGTCAAGCTTTATTTGGTTTCATTAATACAATACCTTAGTGCAAAGAAACAAAAGTTATCACAAGAACTCCAGGACATTTGAAAAATCGGGCATAAATTTGTAGCCGGGGCTTTATGTTTGTAATTTTGCAAACTTATATGTAATTATGCATGGCAAGGATGAAGGTCACAAAACACAGCGAGTTCGCAAATAGTTTGGAAATTTTACTCAAAACTACCAGATTTTAAACTAGAGGCAATGAAAAATGGTCTATGAATTAGTTGACACATAACACAAGATGTAAGGCAAACTTAATCATTAAAGTTTATTTAAAACCTAAAAACTCACTTCTTAAAGATGAAAATTACCATCTTTGATGTGTGTTTTTTGTAGAAGAACTCCGTGACAGTTATCACAAGAACTCCTGACAAGTTATCACAATAACTCCTGACAAGTTATCATAAGAACTCCATACTCCGTGTAACAGTTCCTTCCTCGTGTTTGTTGGATACAAAGGTGCGGTCACACCTACTTAAAAGAAGTGATAGGTTATCAACCAAACTGTTATTCCCTGAAGCTGTTATATCAAAATGTTCTTCTATCTTAGAGATGTGCTCAATACACGCGAATTTAATATATATAAATTGTACAACAGGGTTCTTTTGAAACCTTTTGAATAAAATTTCTAGCCAAAAGATATCTTAATTTCAAATGAAACAATTTTGAATGTAAAGAGTTAATTACATTTCAAAATTGTGCCATATATTGATAAACTGTGCAAATACCTGTATATGTCTAAATAAATAAAGGAATATAGTTGACAGATTGAATGACATCTTTGATTGTAACAGTATGTAATTGAATGTAATCATTATGCAGGCCTCGACACTAACTTTTTAGCAGGTGGTAAGCCGGACCACTAGATTTGAAATTTAGGTGGTCCTTCCGGAAGTCAGGTGGTCAATTATTACTACCATATTATTATTTTATTGTTTTTGAATTTTGACTCTTTGAATGCAGATTTAGAAAAAAAGCTTTGAATTGATGACAAAGATTATTAACCTTTACAATAAAGAAAACAGATATATTTAACGTTACAGTATAGGCTTGAGAGAAATTGGTGATGGTTACTTATAAAACAAACGAATTTATATGCAATATAAATAACGATTTTATTTTAATTTTTATATTGAAACGACTACTCTCTCAACTTGAGTTAAGGAATAGTGAAACCATTTGTGTCTGCCTTTTTTCTTACTGTTAATCAAATATTCATTGCTGATACATGGTGCGTCTAACTCTTATAATCATGATCAATTATCTTTTATAGATTAACATTTTTAATAAAACTATTAAATTATCTAATTCTTGTCTTTAAAAACAAGGAAATATCTAAAGGATAAAAAATGATACCAATGTTAAATATAACTATAGTTTAACTAATTTTTCTCAAAGCAGAATTTTTACCTCCTTGTTGCTTGTTGGTTGATATTTATTTTTGACATTGAGTATTTTTAACATTTTGAAGTAATTTAACTCTGGAAGAAATGGATCTCTTATCGTTAAAATAAAGATAAGTAGCAAAGAATTTCATTCCATTTTATTTGATGCCATTATTCAAGTTTCTGAAATTTAAGTTCATCCGATATCCCATACAATATCATAATTACTAGCAAAAGCATCATTTGAATGAATTTTCTACATAATTCAATATAACAAAATCTTAACTCTTTTGGCGACTTAAAATTAAAATTATTGATGACTTAAGAACGTCTTGAACTAATCAGAGATTAATGAATCGTATATATGTACATGTATAGGACAAATGATTTTAAGCACCAAGTATATAACATGTTTTTTTTTTACCAAATCGCCATACTCCCAAATGAGCCTTTCACCAACCAGATAATTCAACTGGTCCGACGGACCAGTGTCTTTTAAAATTAGGTGGTCCTTGCCAAAATCAGGTGGTCTCGGACCAACGGACCACCGCTAATGTCGAGGCCTGATTATGTAATCACGATTACTTTTGCCAAAGTAATCGAAAGTATTCCATTACACAGCTCTATCAGTGTAGTCGGTTATTTAATCGATAACATAACATTTATACATGTAATTAATCAATAATCGATTTTCATGCAGCTGTAATCGATCACCATTATATATTTGTTAACTCAGCAGTTGACAAAATTCCGCTTACAAGTTAGCGTACAGTGATTACTCGATGTTACAGATAATGTTGTATGACATTAGAACAGAAACATCGATAAGTTTGTGAGTGATAATTAGGGATAATATTTAACGAAAATGGCAGGGGAAACAGTAAGTTATTTTGTCACATTTTATCACTAATATTTTTAAATTGTATTAAGTTTAAGCAACTAAAAACGCATGCATGTTGCACATAGTTGCATGTTGAACATAATATGGATGCTACATGCTGTTACAGTTTAGGCTGATAGAAAAAACTCTGATGACGTCACTGAATCGAACATAGACTGTTGTTATCATGTTGTTGGCGACATCGTATTGATTTAACATCTTATCAGCATCACCGTGGATACTTGAATAAACGTGCTTGAATTTAAATATAGACCAATACGCTGAAAACAGTTTCTTTCTCACGACTCAGTAACAGTCCAAGTTTCCACCTGTGCATTTTAACTTACCTGCTACACGTACGCTATGACTGGTTGCTGATGGGCTTTGCTAAAAACTATGGGAAAATGAATTCCATATGACGCTCATTTCAATGAGCAAATTAAACATTTACATTCAATTTAAAAAATATGTTAATGCACGCTAGGTTGTAGCAGAAACTATAATGTAGTTATGTGTTTAAATTCTGAATACATTTTTTTTTGTTTTATATTGTAAGCAACTAATTTAATGTTGTTGGATTGTTTCTAAGATGATTAATCAGAGTATCATCATCATGTACATTAATGACTTATATAAAATATTAAAATCTTACATGAGTTATAAGAGAGTGTTATAACCTATAATAACTACCGTTACTAAGATATTAAACTATTCACAAATTTCATATGATTGTACTAGTTATTTTAAACCCCAGGAAGCTCCTTACGATATGATAAGAGTGTTTTAACCCCAGATTATATAACTATATTTTATCAGCTGTATGTACTTGTACATAGCTTCTTCTTTTGAAATAATACCCCGTACGTCCAGTACTGATAAAAAATATTGTTAACTATCATATACATTTTATTTAAAACACTTTGATAAAACAAATATAGTATAGAAGAAAAGAAAAAAGATTAATTTTGACAATTTAGTTTCCTTTTAGTAAGATATTTTGGAGGGCTATGGCACATAAATGTACAAAGTCGTCTCAATTTAGATATCATTTCCACGTATTCATTGCTATATTCATCAACTTCTGATCAACCATTGTTGGTTTGGTATTAATATAATCTTGTTGCGGTGCCATACTGGATGGTGCAGTCAATGGGGAATGTAACTAAAATGTGACCAAATATTTAATTAAATAGATTATGGATATTTTCTTGTGAAATAGTTCACTTTTTTCATATGATGTTTGATTATATTTAATAGAAATTTTGACCAAGCTGATCATCATTCATATTTACTTATCATTATAGCCATGACTGTAATCAAGACCGCCTCAGAATTTGTCGTAGGATTAAAATTTATTTTCGACCAGATGTCGTAGTCTCAGTGTCGCCACCTGTCGTATTCGACCAAATGTCATATTCAACAAACCGTCGTATTCGGCCTGTCTTTCGACGAAATGTTTGCACCGTACATGAACAGTTCAATGAATATTAAATTTAAGTACCAATAATACGAAAAATCCTAATCTTGACATTACATGCTTGATACCACATTTATTTATGCATCAACTGTATTCATAACTCTGAAATATTCTCGTAGTACAGAATCGAACTATTTGACAAACGATGCTTTCTAGCCCATCTACACACTTGCCGTCGCATTTTATTTCTTTAAGTTCACACTCTTCGATGAATTATTTGCAAAATATCAGTAACGCACATTTTGTAACATGTTTAAATTATTATCTTGTGCATGCATTTATTTTGCGAATAATGAGTTTTCATCACGTGTTCGTTTAAGAAACAACTATATATTATAATGCATGTAATGCATTTGAAATATTTATACGGGACAAATGCATTTGAAATATTTATACGGGACAGGGATTTAATAAGAAGATTTACTTAACAAACTAACAATCTGGGGAGAAATAAAATATGTTTTATTTACCTCTTTTAGTGCAGCTGACATGTGGAAGTGCTATTAGAGGCGTTAATTTCTTTTTTGTTTTGATGTATTTGATTAATTGACTAATGTTAATTATGTTCTTGCTTATGTTCAAATTACTATGTCATCGCATTTCATTAATAAACATTATTTTAATGGAATCGAAAGTTTTGAGAACTATTCCCATTTTGTTATAAAAACATTCATATATACTCAAAGTATATATCGTAATAACACAAGCCGTATATCTGAATATATAACTGTTTTTACACAATTGTTTATTTTGTTATTCCCGAAATCTACTACAATTTTATCTAATCCTGTAAAGGCAATTTTAAGACTATAATACAAGTATTTTAATCCGATAATTTGTTAAAAACTAAAAACGTTTTATATGCGTATAATATAATGTACATGTTATTGACTTAAAAATGAAAACAAAGCAAAGTTAAAAAAAAAGAGATTTTTCATTAGATGAGCAAAGTGTATTGCAACAATGCTTTCATTTGTTTTAACAGAAATCTGAAGATAATTTTGTTTTTCAGGAACACTTCATGACAAGCGTTTGTGAAAATATGGACGACGGACAAACGAACACAATCACCCTAAAAAGACAAATCTATACTCTCCAGGCATATACTGCCAAATACAATGATGGGGGAGAAAACATTAGTGTCTTTGATGAAATCAAGAAGTCCATGACTTGTTCGAAAAGAAAAGTCGGAAAGATTCTTGGGTCTTACCTCCCAGTTGTTGGATTTATACGTCAGTACAAGTTGAAGCAATATATTCTTGGAGATGCTTTGTCTGGCCTCACAGTCAGCTTCATGCACCTTCCTCAAGCAATGGGATTTGGCATTCTTGCTTCACTACGACCAGTCCATGGCTTATATTCTACATTCTTCCCGGTGCTTGTATATCTATTGTTTGGAACATCGCCTTATATATCGTTTGGAACCAACGCTGTAATGGCATTGCTTACACAGACGGTGGTAGAAAGAGAAGCTGATTCTTTCACTGCTTCATTCAAAAGTAATCATAACGGAACTCTGCCTACTGAAGACGAGATTATGGACGTTAAAATCGGTGCTTCAATGGCGTGTTGTGTACTTGTTGGTATAATTCTAATGGCAATGGGACTTCTGAAACTTGGTATAATCACTTCGTATTTGTCTGTTTCATTTGTCGGTGGATTTACTTCCGCAGCTGCATTTCACATCGCATCCAGCCAAGTGCCTAAGATATTTGGAATTAAGGTCAAGGCGTTTGCAGGAGCTGGAAAATTGGTGCTTATGTATATAGATCTTTTCAGTAAAATTGCAGACACAAAAGTAGTTGAAATAATTATAGCAGTTATTTGTATGATTGTGTTGTTGGTTGTGAAGATATGTATCAATGAGCGATTCAATAAAAAGATGAAGATGCCAATTCCAATTGACCTTATTGTGGTAGTTATTGCGACATTTATATCACATTTTGCAAAGTTTGAGGATAAATTCGATGTAACAATTGTTGGAGAAATACCAAGCGGTTTCACAAGGCCGGCTGTACCTGACTTCAGTAACGCAAGTAATTACATGAGCGACGCTTTTGTCATGGCGATATTGTCACTAGCTATGAGTATTTCAATGGCAAAGCTTTGTTCAAACAAACACGGTTTACCAATTGATGATAACCAAGAACTAATTGCATACGGTGCCGCTAATTTTGTGTCAGGTTTCTTCCATTGTTTCCCGCAAGCTACAGCGCCACCTAGGACGATGATTCTAAGTTCACTTGGTGCTAGGACGACGCTAAATGCCATCGCTACTTCCGTATTTTTCCTGCTGGTGATTCTTGTCATTGGACAGTTATTTGTGTCACTACCACTTAGTGTTCTCGCAGCAATGATTATAGTTTCCATGAAAGATCTTCTCCTTCAGTACAGAAACCTACCACGAATTTGGAAAATAAACAAATATGACTTTATTATTTGGGTTGTGACAAACTCTGTTAGTATTCTCGTTGACTTGAACTATGGTATCATTGCTGGGGTTGGAATCTCAATCTTTCTAACCGTTATAATTGACCAATTGTCGACTGGACATTTGATTGGCCTTTCCAAATCGGAAGATATCGTGATCAAATATACAGATAATACACAAGTAAGAGATATAAGCGGAGTTAAGATCTTTAAAATTCCAACAAATTTATATTTTGCGACTGCTGAGAGGATGAAGTTTCAGATCTTCCGACAAGTTTTAAATCCCAAAAAGTACCTGAAGAAAATGCAGAAATTGGAAAATTTGGTTAAGATAATGGATGAAGAAGAAGTCGCTGTAGGAGACAGCAAGTTTCTCGAGGATGAGGGGAAATATACAGCAGATCCTTTGGACATACAACTGAAATCGTTGGTACTTGACTTCTCAAAGGTACACTACATCGATATGGCAGGAATAGCTGCTCTGCAACAAATCATCAAAGAATACACTACGGTAGATGTCAGCGTTTACTTCGTTGCAATCTCTGAAAACGTTGGTAAAACTTTTGAAGCTAGCGACTTTTTCGAGTCCTATTCTCGGAGTAGCGTTTTCGTTGACGTGTTTGACGCAATCTCAGTTCTCAGGTCGAATGAAGCTGCGTCTGTTGTTTCAGCAAAAATATGAAAATTACATTACAACGGAAGTCGAGACAATATTGTCATTACATAAATGAAAATACAAATAATTATACAGTGTCATCAGATTTTATTTTTGATAAAAGTCTAGTCTTTGTTATCGAATTTCTGTCCATTTGGATTAAGATATCTACATGTATATATCAAATGCTATTATACATGTATGTTGCGATTATTGGTTACAGATTTCATCTTGTTTATTTTGATATACACAAAATATTGTGGGTTTTTTTTTTGGTATACTATATTGTTTGATTTTATTAACCTGTCAATTCCATACTGATTATACGGTCAATGCACAGAATATATTAATATTCGATAAATGTTCGGTAAATTCCGTGAGATGTGCGCAGTAAGATGTGATTAAATTCATCTTGTTTTTTATGAATTAGTTACACTGACCGTTATAGTGCAATTGGGTAAACCACAGGTATATTTTATCTGAATGTTCAACGTGTTGTAGGATCGAGACAGAGTATGTCCAGTATTTTTTTTATTCATAACCATTTTCAACATGTTTTTTAAGTTATGGTTGTTCCGTTTTTAATATATTTTGCACCTTTTTGTAAATACTATACATTTGTATATAACAATGTTTAAGAATTAATACTGAAAATTCATTCCGATTAAAATCAATAAATGTAATTATACAATATAAAATGTGACAATTCAGTGTCTCTTATTTGGTTCATATCCGTGTAGACAAATTGAAAGCGCTTGACCATTTTCATTAAAATATTCTTAAAAATAAAGAAAGAATAAGTCTAAAACGAATGTCAAAAAAGGGGATCGAACCTCAGACCCCTCATGCATTAGGTAATCACTTAACCGACTGTGCTATTGCGGATGTTACAAGAACCTACATTAATCTAGTGAGGGTTTTCCAAACGTAAGTGATATACTCCATATTAATTCTCGTAAAATAAACGGAAAAAACCGAAGTGGGATCGAATATTTAAATGAGTGCTATAATGTATTCGTAATTGACAGGTCAATAAAATCAGACTAATACACGATATTTTTATTAACATGAACAGTCAAAATAACGGCATAAAAGTTAAAAGAAACGCAATGAGTTTATTCAAATATAATATATTGTCCAACTGCCAGACAATATTTTATGTTTAAATACAAACACAATAAATTGAACTTAAATACGTATGCTAGGGTTACATATAGCAATATTGAAACAAAGTTGAATTTATCTGAGCTTAACATGATCTTAGAATATCAAAACAGAAAAGTTTCAGCGAAAATGAACTTGGCCTCCGATATCGTTTTCGAGTTATCTGCCCCTCAATTTGAAAATTGTTCTTATTCACAATCAAGGTCACCAATGCCTTTCTTGCATTTCATGAAGCTAACTTCCATTTGAGTAATGATACAAAATTTCAACTTTTAGTAATATATAGTTTGTTTAGTTTATTTTAACGAAATACATATTTTAAGGAACTTACAGTGCCTGTACTTAAACCTGATGAAGGGAATACAGATGATAAATGGAATTTCAAGAAATAATGTACTATTATGACCAAAGATATAATGACAAATATAAACCAATAGCAAAATAAGGTTTTTAAGATTATGTATCAATTATTGACATAAATTAACAAAAAATTCAAATTCAAGGACAGATAAGTCGAAAATGAAATCGATGCCCCAATTTGTTTGTCGCTTAAATATTCCTGTTTTTAGATAACACGAAAGTTTAATGAATTCAAATATGTAGCTTTAAATATATATATAATTATATGGTGCCAATTTACATTGTTCTTTATATAAAAAAATAATACCGTAAATGCACTATGAAACTCCAACGTAAGATAAAAAAGCCTAGTTAAGAAATCTGGTGCCGGGGACGTGAAGGATATATTGTATTTATCACTGCTGCTCAATAAAACCGAGCCTGCAACATTTTCCATTTTGTTGTTTTTGTTTGATTCCTTGTAAGGTAAAGGTGGTGTAAACTCCGATATGTATAACTGCCGGATACTGATATGGATACTGGTCAGTGGCCATGCAGCTTTAGTTTATACATACTTTATTCAAGTTCGGTACTGTAGGAAGCTATAAGCTCATAGAAACACTTTCGAACAAACCAGTGTATATATAGAGCAATGAGTGAAAAGTATCTTGCTCAAGGAAATAACGACATGCTCACGCGACTAGGGATCCCGTGATGACTAGTTCGACACTTTAACCACTCGGCCATGCCGCAAGCAGTTTTCTAACTTCTTCCTACCAGCAACAGTGTCATTATCAACTGCTGGCTGTTACACCAGTATATCACAACAATAACAACAGTCATTAATTCATACAACTTTATTTAAGTAAAAATAAAGACCTTTGGTCTAGAAAAAAAAACATCAGTATAAAAACAATGAGATTTACATATATAAATAAATGTACGTAATTGCACATACTGGACATGTGGTGAATGAATTGATATAGTCATAATTTAATGTTACATGATTTAACAACTGAAGTAAATACTGATATTGCAGGAAAAAATGTCTTCACTTAGTGAAATTATAAAGGATTAGAAGTCGTTAATTGTTATAACATTAGTATACCAATTATAAAAGGAGTCACAATAAAACAGTTTAAAAAATGTTTTTGATTTTAACAATTTAAACATTGTCTGAAATTATTATTGTCCAATAGTAATAAACTGCAATATTTCAAAATGAATCGTAACATATCTATTTTGGTAAAAGCAGTCTAGTGAATTTATTGTTTATAAAATCGAATTTGTAAGTCTTCATTAGTAAATATTTACAAATTTAATCGGTTGAGCAGCTCTTGAGATAATCACTAACCTATAAATAATTTAGTGAATGACATGAACATTGAAACTTTGCATTAGCAACATTATATTTTTCAGAGTCTAAAAACAATCATCCAGCTTGCAATTACGCACTTTAATTACTTGACAACACTCTTATAAAAATAGTGCCTATCATCAGCTGTTTAAAATGCCGTCAAATTGAAATAAAATTGCAGCGGTTGGAAATGCAATAAATTAATTAAACTTCATTTAAATGAACTATATATATTTGAATGTGTTTTTTAACATCTGAAAGCCTTGCCATCATTACTTATTTGTTTGAACATCTGAAAGCCTTGCAATCACACAAAAAAAAGGTTAAAAAATATACATGTAATAATTTGCAATATTAATATTTATAAGTTAGTCTTTTTATTTTCACACGTATCTCCGTCCTTAATTGTACATTGTAACAATGTTGATGCAGACATTTTTATACGAGTATGTTAGAAACATGTGTGATAAATAAATGTACAGTCCTCTATTAAATTGCAGAATCTTCATAACAAAAAGATCTATTTTGCTTTCTTGAAGATACGTTTAGCTGTGACGTCACCAACTGACATCGTCTGCAACAGAAAAATGTCCATATGAATAAAATTGCTATAAATGGGGATGAATGATTTTGTATTATAAATAATATAATTTATTTGAATTAATGTTATAGAATGTCGTACAATTATGTTATGCAAATGTAACATGTACATCAAAAAGCAATGTCAGTCTGGCTGCACGTAGCTTTCAATGCTTAACTTGCTTAATTTATGAAATGAATTTGCCTTGCTTTGAATTTGGAACAGCCCATTCAAAGGGATTTCATTTTCAAAATACTATAAAGCCGTCCGGTTGACTCAATAGGTAGAGCGTTGGACCGTGAATCGTGCGACCGGGTTCGATTCCCGGACGGTATATCATTTTCGTTGTGATTGATCATGAAATCCTTTCTACGGTCACTCGCACTGTACGTACCTCTACTCTTGCATGTACGGTAGTTATATGTTCCTTGCGAAAATGAAGGCAATTAATACTGATAAACTGATTGACAGCCTGCCTAGGAACGATGCGGTGGCTGTTTTGTGTGAACATCTATCGTTCATTTCTTTAATTATGATATAAAGATATAATTTATGTTTTCATTGTAAAGCTTACCTGAATAAGCTGATCTCCACTTATTTCTCTCACAACTGTGACCGTTTCTCCTTTTAATTTCCCCTCGTTAGGTGATCCTTTTGTGACTAATTTACCATCTGTAAATTCCGTGACAGCCTGCAATTAATAATAAAACAGAGTTGTGCACATCAGTTTATATAAGAGGAACAAACAATTCTTTGAAGTATACGCCAAAAAAGTATTTTAAGTGCTGTATGGGAACTGGATTCCATACTATATCTGAATAGTATGATACTTTTTTCTGAACATTCGGGATCATTGAATCAATTACTTGTAGTGTTGGCGACTGAATACTGCATACGCCGGTGCCGGGGGGATGTGAATGTCCCACTTTCCTTTATCTTATGAGCAGACTCGGTTAAACGAATATGCAATGTTCGTCAATTGAATTTTGATTTCATTGCTCTTGAGAAGATCTCATTATTTCCATAAATGTCACTTTCATCTACTCATTTATTTTGCGATCTGGTGGTTGACGCGATCTTTGAAACTAGTAGTACTGTGGTATAATTGTTGTGAAAGCCGACATATGCCGAGTTTTCACGAAACAAAAATTGATGTCAGTATGACATTGATTACAACGAACCAAAACAATTTCGTTTGAATGTATAACAGAAAGTAACTTAACAACTACTTGCATGCTAGCCGATATAGCAAATAATTAAAGCATTTAATTCATTATGTATTTCAAAGCAATAGTTATTTTATAGAATATACATGTACATGTTTACTTAAAAATCCGGCACCAACACGTTTATTGTATAATATTTGCTGAATAAAATATCATATAGCAAATGTTTTATTTACCTGCCCAGTATATTCTGCATCTGTCTTAAATGTTTCTCCAAGTTGGAATGACACTTTATTTGTAACTGGTCCAGCAGATATATTAATAGAAATCTTGTCCCCATCCACGCTGAGCTCTAACGACGGCTTTACTTGAAGTGCAATCTTCTTCTTCACAATATTCACTCCTGAATATTGAAATATTTTCAGTATTAAATACAGCAAGGGACAAAACTGACAGACTTTAAACAAGCTCCCAACATAAAATTCGGACGTAGACCCTATTAAAGGTTAGTGTTCTCTCTGTTTCACATTTAAAGAACTTCTTGCAGTATATGTACATCATGTGATTAAAAAAATCAAGGAAAAAAACCCACACAAAAAAACAAACAAAAAAACATTATATTAAACTAAACCGGTTATTAATCTTGCAATATTGTTTGAAAACACCTTAAACATAAATAAAAGCAAATCTAATACTGATTTATTTTATTTTATTTATTTATTTTTTTTTTGCTTTTTTTTTCTTTTGGCGGTTTTGTGAAATTTGTTATTGTTATAGTTGTTTTATTGCTTCAATTTAATGTACTTGAATCTGATTATGTGTCAGAGTAAGATATACTCGTAAAGGGTACAACATTTACAAAAACAAAACAAAACAAACAAAAAAAAACAAACAAACAAAAATCAAACATTTATACAAAAATTCATCATATTCAGATATTTAGCATTTATGATATTAACCGAAATATAATATATTTATCCCGCTTTCCATATATATTTCATCGTGATATATAGAATAGTACCATATTTCAAACAATCTTGAAAATCATACGTTTAATAAAACACATTAGTTTTGATTTTATCCTAAATAAAATGTGGATTTATATAACTGGCACTTACCCATTTTTTCCAAAAACGCCTCAAAATTTTCAGATTCACAGACAGTCCATTTACCCTCAAATTTTGCTTTAACTTCAGCCGCCATTTCACTAAAAATATTCCTCTTTATCAAGCAAAAATGTCGTATACTTGTTAATATCTTGCACTGACCAGAATGCTTATTCCGACTTATTTTGTTGCTTTTATATAGAGAAAAAAAGGTAGGCCGGTATGGTTTAAAACATAGGACGGTCTTTAAATCTTGTCAGAACCATTATTGACATTTATTAATCTTTTGTGTAAATTGTAAACCGAATGATGGTTGCCAATAACATTAATATTATCGGTTAAAATGTGTGACTGTTACATGACCTGTACATAGCAGTATTGGTAAAAAGTGTGACGGTTTTAACTGTAATGTGTCGGCCGATTAGACCGCGGGGTAAGTAATGCCGCTGACCGCGCGGTCAAATATTTTTTTATGAATAGACTACAAAAATGTAGACATAACAAATTGATTTTAAAGCGGTCATCTTAATAAAGATTAGTCATTTATTGTATCACTTACTGTAATAACGGGAAAAGTTTAAAAATAAATCCAGTAGTAATTTGTTATTGCTGTGTTCGCAGACCAGTTTCATGACAACCGGTCATTGTATTGTATTTTTCGGACTTTTGTCTGACATAACATACAGAAACAAAACGTGTAGAATTCGAACTAATAAACAAACTATTAAACAGAAATATAGAATAAAAAATGCGTACACAGGTTACAGTCTGAATAAAGATCAATAAATTATCAATAACAAAAAAAAAATTTGAAAAATGGTTCTACAAGTCACAGAAACAAAGACAGAACCTCTCGTCAGTGACTAGTAATACAAAATATATGTATTGTTTCCAACATGCTGAAATTATGCACGATGTCCATCATCCAGACTTTCACTGGAAAGTATTTTTGTTTCATAAAAGAAATATAAACTGCATATTGGCACAAGTGTTATTTTTTGGTCTTCCTTTGGCCATTTTGATAGGTTAATATTATGTTTCAGCTTATAGATACTATTTTCTTGATTTTGTAAATAAAGGTACTGTAGTTAAATTAATGAAATGCAAAAACATGGGCATTACCTGTTAGTCATGCGGCTAATACGTTAATTGTAATTAACCGGTCTGACACTTTTATTATAATTTTGTCAAGCAAGATGACCATTACGTCAAGAATATTATATTATGTGTTGCCCTAATTTTTCATCCAATGTAATGGTTTGCGTCCACTTTAAAGTAAAAGTATATATATTTCACGTATGTATGTCTTTATGAGAAAATACAACTTTTTCTGAAGATTGTGGTGGCTGATTTGTACCATTCGTGTTTTCGTCCCGCAATCCTGGCGAGCGAAAAGTCGAGAATTAACAAATTTAAATGACCGGGCGGGGAGCGAAAACACGCTAATTAGCAGGGGCGCAGGGCGAACCCGCGCCCCTGCTAATTAGCGTGTTTTCGCTAATTAACTTTCCATTTTACGCACGTGCTTTACTATAAACCAGAATGCTTTTAAAGTGGATTGGTCTACATTGGGCTCATTTTGAAGAAACGTTTCAAATATCATTCTTACAAAATATTTCTTTGACAGAAAATGTTTATCTGGTTCTATATGATTTAAAATGACATAATATATGATGAACTACTAATATTTTGTATCAATTCATTTTTTATTATTAATTTTATTATCAAGATCCACATAATTATTTCATGGTATCATACATTCTACTATAAACATAAATATTTATGATATCGCATACTTTCCAGCATAGACCAATTCACTTTAAATGTTCTTTTTTCTTTGCAATTAAAATGTAAAAAACATTGATTAAAATATAGTATGAAACTACTCTACATTTTTGATGCACATAATACTCATCTTTTAAGTGAATTGCTTTGCGAACTTTTGCAAAATTTATAAGTAGACTAGCTAGTGTCTGTCTACTTGTCCCGCAAGTTCGAATCCTGCCATGAACTTAGGATTGTTTCATGTGATGAATCTTACGGAACGTGGGTGGTTCTACTCAGGTTGCCGTTCTTTCGTGCACGGATCGAGGAGCACCGGAGGTCTTCCTGTACCAGTAAGGCTAGAAAGTCAGTATATGACCTTACTTCGTTGGTGTTAACGTTTTAATGTCTAAAAACTTATTAAGACTTTGCATGTCCTAATAAAAATTTTAAAAACGTATGAGAAATAGAAATCTTATTTGTTCTTTGTATAATAACCTAATTAGAAGATACAAAGTTCAAATTAGGTTTTTATTTTATATTTAGGCTTTTGAAGATCCTCGTAATATATCTATTTCTTCTAATTAGGCTTTCAGAACTCCTCAAGAGTTACAAAGTTTTAATAAGGTTTATTTCTCCTAATTATGAGTTAAAGTTCCTAATTAGTTGTAACTGGGAGTGACAAAGTTGAAATAAGGTTGTTTTTAATCTGTCCTATTTATGAGAATTAAAGTCAAAATTAGGCTTTTATAACTCCTAATTATATGTAAAGAGGTCCTTATTATGCTTTTAAAAATCCTTATTATGAGTTAAACGGTGTTTTTACGATCATTTAAATTTTGGAACAGATGGTTTCGTATCGAAACACTTATTTAAGAGATTTTCGACCATGCGACCATATACATGCATCGAGGACATATGTTGCAAGGAAAGTGACCGTACGACCACATACACGCATCACATGATTCCCATCCTCTTACGAGAAAAGGACAAATTTAGAGCCGTCCACCCTTTTATTAAAGGGCAGACTTTAATTAAAATCGTGCCATTTCCTTATTGTTATTGATAAGGAGGCTAGCTAATTTCCACAGATATGTCTTGAATCGGTTTATATACAACAATAATAACGCAAACCAAGCGGGGGTATGATTTCGTCCTTTTAAGTTCGCTATGATATTTTCAAAAGGTCATATATAATTTCTTGGGAAAGTTTGAGTTTGCAGCTTTTTCTACACTTCATCCTGTGTATTAAGTATTTTTTTTTTGCAAAACACTAATTTTATAAAACGTTTCAAAAACGTTTTATATGCATTGACAATCAGAGATATATTTCACACTTTGTTTGCAAATAAAAACATTGGGGGCATTTTTGCCCAAGTACGCAATTAATTTCTATATTCGACTTATCCTACTTGCAATAAAATGGGTAACGTAAAGCAAGAAATGATGGATAAAACTTTAGCAGCCGACAATTTTGACACGAGTAAGGCTGTGCATATTTGCAAGCCTAATCTTAACCTCATAAATTTGTAAAATGCACTTTTTAAGCTTCAATTTTGTTTTTAAAACTATCGATCAATCTGGCGCAGGAATATCAAGCTTGCCATAATTACAGAGTCGATCGGTTCAGTACAGGATGTACAGCCTGGTTTACATGTATCTATCTACTCAGTTCCCGCTGTGACATATTTACACAATTGTTTTTTATTCAAGTTCATTCAAAGTTTAAACAAATTCTATTATACAGTTTTCAAGCTGCCTTTATGTCTATAGGTGTAACTGTAGAATATGCCTTTAAACTTTCATTTGTTATACTTTCAAAAGATGGAGAAAAAAAAAACAAAGCGAAGAAACACTTTTAATGACACACAGTAAACGTAATTTCAAATCAAAAGAATTCCGTCTATTCAATGTCATTTCACATTACATGAAAATTATGAAGAATAACACGCTACGTCTATGAACTCAATAGTTAGTGACGTAAATACGAAAGACCGATGGGACCACTGGCACCAGAATCCTTTATAAAAAAAATGAATCTAACGATTCCCGAAATATAATCAAGAATTACTTATCTGACACATCCCCGTATACTATCATATATAATTTCATGTGAAATTTGTGATATACGGGTATTATTAGACTCATATACTTTAAGCACTCTAGTGTCATTTAATTAACATGAATTCAAGTTTTGAACTTTACGATTTCAATTTTATGATGTTCGTAAAGTTGAAATCATGGAATCTGTCAAGATGAAATCGTGAATTCGTGAAGTTGAAATCGTGAATTTAATTTACGAAGTTAAAATTGTGAATTCACGAGGATGAAACAGTGAATTCGTGAAGTTGAAATGTCCCCACAATCTTTCGTAAAATAAAGCTTACATATATACACAGGAAAATGTGGACGAAGTACGTAAATCTTGTTTTGTCGTTTAACTTCGTGTTAATAAAAAAAATTTAAATTCGCAGTTACATATTTTCTGTCATGAAGTCACGGAACGATACGCCGAACACTGAAGCTGTTTTGAGCCAGAGTGATGGACTGATAATTTTGTTACATGATTGTAAATTATAGAGGGGGCTTTAAAGGGTATGGATTAAAGTGAGATCTGGTTAATTAAAATTATATAGAGCGCTTCGAGATCTGTTGTACAGAAAGGATACATGGGTACAGATGAACGAACCATGACAGGGTAAGTAATTAATTTCCCCATCATGCGAGAATTATAGGTCTTAAAAATACCAAGGTGAAGTTATCGATCAAACATATTGAGTAAATCGTGTACTGTTATCATGGTTATGCAGTATAAACATGTATAACAAGCAAGAAAACTATGTCTCATATAACTATTGATTTCAGAAACTTCTTATTAACACGATCAATGATTTGTCTCTATATCAATCTAAAATTGTAAAAATAAGACTTCCTATATATATCATGCGCTTCTTTTTTTTCTCCGTATCCCATAACTATACGTTATTTCTTAATTACACAGTTTAAGTTCAAGATCTCCCAGGGAAAAACATTAAAATGTAAACCAGAAGTCAAGTGAAATTAACAAAGCACATATTGTTTAAAACATGTGACTTTTACATATCGTCATCATCCTACAGGTATGACAAAGACCACTGTGTATATATCTAGTAACGCAGGAATGTGCAATTAACGAAAAAGTAACGCCTAGCTAATTTGCCAAAACGTATACGGACCAAATATTTTACCGTAAATCAAATAAAAATAAATCAATAAATATATACGGCTGCTATGACATTATACTTAAACCAGCATTATAAATATTTTCAGGCATATTTTTTTAACTTTAAGATCATTTTTGGGAATGACGAGTTGAAATCGAGAAGTTCAGAAACCAATTTTGGGGCCGGGTTGACCAATTTTGAGGCCGGGTTGACTTGGGGCAGGGTTGACTGTAATTCCGACCTGACTACTATTTCAACTATCAAAAAATTAATCTATGATTAAGATCAATAATAGATTAATATAAAATTATTATTTTGATATGGATCAAGGTCTCCTGTGCTATGGTCCGAATGATTGAAGACATAGTCCGAAATGTCCTAAAATTATCCGAATTGTCTATAATCCGAAATGTCCATTACTAATTATACCGGATACCGGTATTTATTCATTACTAGTTATACCGGATATCGGTATTTAGCAAAGAACAGAGTTAATTCCCTTCACAAAAATGGCGGTCACAACTGCCAGAACTCGGTACAGTTAAAACTTTTTAGATTTATATAATCATTTGTAGATTGGCAACATATATGTAGCATTTTAAATGTAAAGATAAGTAATAAGAAATCTATTCAAAACAAAGTATTTAGTTATGCATGCTCAAAATTGAGTAGATTTTATTCATAACACAAGCTCGAGTAAATGAAACACTGATGAAGCCATTGAAGGTGCAGATCGAATTACAGCAGTGTACGAAATTCGGATTTGAAAGCACTAGGCTGGTCGGACTACCAGATTGGAATATTCAATAGCCCAAAAGACATTTCACTAGCACAATTCATTTGTTCAAAACTGTGGTTTATATTGCCTCTGAAAATACAATAGTCTGGCTGGGCTTGTTACTTTGAAAAGTTGGTAGCCCGAGGAGAAATTTAGTAGTCAGGGGCTATAGGACTAGTGCTAATTTCGAAAACTGTTACAGTCCGGCCCGAAGATTATCCGGCCCAAAATTTTGTCAAATCTGTGGCAAAAAGTACCCAAAGCGGCTAATTATGTACCCAATTTGTTACGTAAATGTACAGATCACTTCCACCGTTCCACTTTTGTCAGATATTTTTTTACTTGAAGTTGAAAACGTTCTTAAGAAAAGTTATTTATCCTGCTCCTGGCCATATTATCAGCTGGATAAAGCCTAGTCAAAATACATTGACGTGCAAAAGCTAGATTCTGAAATGTGTTTTGTTGTGGGTCAGAATTTAGTACCGTACCCTTACTAAAAATAGCACAATATCACATCACCTTGTACAATTACTTGGACTAGATAAGGCATTGCCCAAAAATCTTATCTATTTCCAGTCATTATGTCTCATTATCAAGCATCAAACAACTACATAAAGACGCTGTTTTATTGTGGGAAAAGTAAGAATGAAACCATTTAAGTAATCTAAAACCATGACTACACAATAGCAGTATAAATGGAATACATGGTTGATGTCGGAATGAAGAAGGTTTATCCGGTTCGCTGTGAAAGTGATTTTTGGCTTGTAAAGCTCGCCAAGATACACTTTCTCGCTCACCGGTTAAACCTTCTCCATTCCAACTTCTACATGTAAGCAGTAGAATTTCAGAGTCTGATCAATAATTGAAATAATTTTCACTTACCAAAACCAGACAATTTGTGTATTCCATCAAGTTCAGAGAATGATTAATTGTATATTTGTTTTTGTTACAGTCCTGGGGGTCCACCAGAGTATGTTATTATCCAGGAGCCAGACACTGAGGAATTTACTGATGAAGATTTAGAAATGGAGTTAGATAGAGCACTAGATGCTCAGGCAGAGTTTATTGTCATTGAACCTAAAACCCTCGGTGACGAAACAGCTAGATGGATTAAAGTAGGGAATTGTTTACACAAAACAGCAGTTGTGACTGGCTTTCTAAGCGGAGTTACATTGTATGTGGACAGCTCAAGGAACTATGTTATAATATCTTGTGGTGTTCTCAGCGTATTTTGCGCCAGTGTCTATGCAGTTTCGTGGCAGTATGACCCCTGTTGCAAATATCAGGTCGAAGACAATTTACCAAAGTTGGAAAAAATTCTAGAAAATCTCAACACAGTCACACCTGTAGTTCTTGTACGGAAAGAGGACGCTCGTAGAAAAAAGCTACACAATATTATTGCTATAATATCTGGAATTATTTGTGCATACAAATTTTACAAATGGATCAAAAGTTAATGTCAGGACATTTTAGAGCTCATTTACATAAATCATTTTTTGACTCAAAGACATCATGTGAAGAATGAATGATCAATCAGAAACTGTACATTGGTATATTAAAAAAGAAATGGTGCCATTCATTAGACTAAATCTGATTGCGACACACTCTTTATTTGATCATGTCTTTGTAATGGCACTCAAGATGCAGAGTCAAAATAGTTGTATGAATGTGTTTATAGTTTTTAGACACTAATTCATATTTCCATATTATGAATAATGAAGCATTATGAAACTGCCATGATTTTATCATGTCCAGATAATATTAGATGTTCACGATAATCAAGGGCATTAACTGTGTAAGAAAATCTCAATCTGTTGACAAGTTAAATACCTGTCAGTCTGCACTGTTCAATAAGTTTATTTCTTTATTTACAATGAACTATTTCATGTAATGTTCTTAATATGTCTTATAAGCATCTGCATGTAACCCTTGATCTGCTGTATTTGTTTAAAGGCCCATTATGCTTTTAATTTTATTTTATTTCTCAAAACTTTTAGTTTTTGGTATCTTGGTACATTTCTGAAAATCAGTACTCGTTTGCCTTATACAGGAACCTTTTTTCGCTACTTTTACTCTGTTGGCAACTGGTGCCCGCAGGGCCATTATTCATTTTGTTGGCCGATTATCACCTTCAGGCCCTACTCTGCTGTGAGCAAATGTTTAACACCTCTAAGAAATTAAAAAAATATGGACTTTTTAGGCAAAATGTGCCTTTGAAAGGCTATTCCAGTATTCATTTTGGAATGGTTCTTTGTCAAGATTTGGGATATCAAGATGAAAATTTAAATTAAAAGTTTGTTAGCTATCAGTGGTTCTTGGCCTGGCTTTGTATTGGTAGCAAAGACTAACCAATTCGGTTCTAGCAGGACAAGGGTTAAAGTCATAATTATCATGGTGTAAATGTTTGAATTTGAATTTGGATGCAATCATAATTGTGTTTAATATTTGAATAAATTGTAAATGTGAAACTGTTATCAAGCATGTAAATTCTGTAAGTGTATGTAAATATTAATGACGGGCATGTAGCATGTTCCTTTGAAAATTGAGTTAAGTTTAACAAATTCAGATTATTTTAATTGAGGATTTGTAAATTAAAGATGAAACCAAAATTGTATTTTGTGTTTTATATTGTATATTTTGAAGGAGATATTATTGTAATATATTTGGTCTTAAAAGTGTCAAAAAGGCCAGGGATCTGCTTTGAGACATGGAAAATTTGTCCAGTTTCTATTTTTGGAATTGTTCATTTTCAATTTTGGGTTATTAAATAAAAAAAATGAAATAAGTCATCCAAAAGATTACAGTAAGAGTCTGACCTGCCTGCAGGAATAATCATGTACAGACTGTAATGGCTCTGTACTGGTGACAAAGGCTAAACCCTTTTGATTCAAGCTGGATAAGTGTGTTGCATTATATTTGTTCAAAGTGGAAAATATGAAGTTTATATGATATGGTTTTTATGGCTGTACAATATTATATTGATCGACTTAAATTTTTGTTTTCTTTATCATATTTCTTATTGCATAGGTGTATTGTTTTGGCCTTTGCATCTTAAATGTTGGCTTATTTTTATCTAAAAATGCCTCGCACCATAGGTTATCCAGGATTTCCTCAGCTGTTTTAAGCACAATGGCACCAATGAGTTTCTAAAAAATATCTGGATATCTTTTCACTTGTCTAAATCCCATTAAGCTGAATTAACAATCATACACCATTAAGCTGTCATTTAAATAGCATTACATCAGATAGCGTTGGCATGCTTTGACACAGACTTATTGTGTCGTCTTGAAAAAGGCGACATATAGGGGTTGCTTTTGTTGGGGGGCATCGTTGTCGGGTGCCGCGTCCCCTAAGGCTTGTCCGGAGCATAACTCAGTCACTAGAAGTCAGATTAACTCCAAACTAGGTATGCATGTCTCTTTCAGTGACCGGAAGTGCAGTACACAAGAATTGTTACTCTGCGCTTCTTAATTTTTGAGTTATTATCCTTTGTTAATTTTCAAACTTTATTTTTGTCCAGGCCATTTCTCCTAAACTTTTAAGCTATGGACTTGAAACTTCATAGGATGACAGATCTCATTAAGAAGTGCAGTGCACAAAAACTGGTATTCTGCCCATCTTATTTTTGGAGTTATTGTCCTTTGTTAATTTTCATACTTTATTTTTGTCCGGGCCATTTCTCCTAAACTTTTAAGCTATGGACTTGAAACTTCATAGGATGATAGATCTCATTAAGAAGTGCAGTGCACAAAAACCGGTATTCTGCCCGTCTTATTTTTGGAGTTACATTTTGTATTGTCCTTTGTTAATTTTCATACTTTATTTTTGTTCGGGCCATTTCTCCTAAACTTTAAAAGCTATGGACTTGAAACTTAATAGGACGATAGCAGTGCAGAGCACAAGAACTGGGTCTCTGCACTTCTTAATTTTTGAGTACTTGCCCTTTGTTTTACATACTTTATTTTTGTCCAGGCCATTTCACCTAAACTATAAAAGCTGTGAACTTGAAACTTCATAGGATGATAGCTCTCATTGAGAAGAAGAGCAGTGCACAAAAACGGATACTCTGGACTTAATGATTTAAGAGTTATTACCCTTTGTTAATTATTATACTTTTTTTGTCTGTGCCAAATCTCCTACACAATAAAGCAATTCTGATGTAACACTGTTACAATCAGTTTAAATAAAATGCCACTAAAGTTCAAGGTACATGTACATTGTAAGAGTGGTGTTAATATACTGTTCACAAGGTGACACATCAAAGTGGAGTTCTGTTGTCATATGGGGCTACACAGTGGACAAGGTCAAATTGTGTTTGCTGCAGGTTGACAGTATTTTCAGTCTATAAGATTGTGATAATTATTTTAAGTCAAAAACATTACCATCTGATTGATAATTCTTAAGTTATCAGTAACTGATAACATCAGGTTGTAAAGCATCAAATTTAGGACACAACAACACTGTAAAGGTCATATGGGCAACTTCCCAGCTTTACTGATGGAGGAAGATCAGGTGCCCCTCTAAGCATTATTTCAGGCATGAACAGGCACCTGAGCAGAACCACTGACGAATCATAAGCTAGCTGGATAGCTTTCACAAGTCCCTTGCAGGATTCTAGCATTCTAGAAATGTGTCCATAGGAAATGGGTGCCCCCACACTCCACCGATTTGTCAATCTTATTTATGTCTCTAGGTCAAATTTTTTTTTTTGGCTACATGTTTCTACAAGTAGAAAACTAAAAATCTTTTATTAAGTAAAGGATAAATACTACAAATACTGAATAAATCCACAAGAAAACTCAAAGGTGCATAAGTACACATGCTGACCAACATCCTTGTAACTTTCTGGCCTACAGGTCATAAACTTTTTGAGTTATGTGCAACACAAGTTAAATATTGTAAATTTTTACTAAGTCAAGGGCAATAACTCTAAAAATATCCACACAAAAATACCAAGGTGCACAACTACACATGCTGAGCAACATTCCTGTAAGGTTTCATGACTCTAGGTCAAATACTTTTTTAGTAGCGTGCGACAAAAGTTGAAAATTGGAAATTTTTACTAAGTCAAGGGCAATAACTCTAAAAATACTATATATCCACATAAAAATACCCAGGTGCACAACTACACAGGCTGAGCAACATTCCTGTAAGGTTTCATGACTAGATCAAATATTTTTTGGGTTACGTGCGACACAAGTTGAAAATTGCAAAGTTTTACTAAGTCAAGGGCAATAACTCTAAAAATATCCGCACAAAAATACCCAGCTGCACAACTACACATGCTGATCAACATTCCTGTAAGGTTTCATGACTCTAGGTCAAATACTTTTTAGTTACGTGTGACACGAGTTGAAAATTGGAAATTTTACTAAGTCAAGGGCAATTACTTTAAAAATGCTAAAAATATCCACACGAAAATACCCAGGTGCACAACTACACATGCTGAGCAACATTGCTGAAAGATTTCATGACTCTAGGTCAAATACCTTTTAAGTTACGTGTGACACAAGTTGAAAATTGCAAATTTTCACTAATTCAAGGGCAATAACTCTAAAAATACTATATATATCCACACAAAAATACCAAGGTGCACAACTACACATGCTGAGCAACATTCCTGTAAGGTTTCATGACTAAAGGTCAAATACTTTTTTAGTAGCGTGCGATACAAGTTGAAAATTGGAACTTTTTACTAAGTCAAGGGCAATAACTCTAGAAATACTAAAAATATCTACACAAAAATACCCAGGTGCACAACTACACATGCTGATCGACATTCCTGTAAGGTTTCATGACTCTAGGTCAAATACCTTTTTGGGTTACGTGCGACACAAGTTGAAAATTGCAATTTTTACTAAGTCAAGGGCAATAACTCTAAAAATATTCACATGAAAATACCAAGGTGCACAACTTCACATGCTGATCAACATTCCTGTAAGGTTTCATGACTCTAGGTCAAATACTTTTTAGTTACGTGCGACACGAGTTGAAAATTGGAAATTTTACTAAGTCAAGGGAAATTACTTTAAAAATACTAAAAATATCCACACGAAAATACCCAGGTGCACAACTTCACATACTGAGCAACATTCCTGTAAGATTTCATGACTCTAGGTCAAATACTTTTTGAGTAGCGTGCGACAAGTTTAAAATTGGAAATTTTTACTAAATCAAGGGCAATAACTCTCAAAATGCTATGTATATCAACACAAAAATACCATGGTGCACAACTACACATGCTGAGCAACATTCCTGTAAGATTTCATGACTCTAGGTCAAATACCTTTTAAGTTACGTGTGACACAAGTTGAAAATTGGAAATTGTCACTAATTCAAGGGCAATAACTCTAAAAATACTATATATATCCACACAAAAATACCAAGGTGCACAACTACACATGCTGAGCAACATTCCTGTAAGGTTTCATGACTCTAGGTCAGATACTTTTTTAGAAGCGTGCTACACAAGTTGAAAATTGGAAATTTTTACTAAGTCAAGGGCAATAACTCTAAAAATATCCACATGAAAATACCCAGGTGCACAACTACACATGCTGATCGACATTCCTGTAAAGTTTCACGACTAGGTCAAATATTTTTTGGGTTAAGTGCGACACAAGTTGAAAATTGGAAATTTTTACTAAGTCAAGGGCAATAACTCTAAAAATATTCACATGAAAATACCCAGGTGCACAACTACACATGCTGATCAACATTCCAGTAAGGTTTCATGACTCTAGGTCAAATAATTTTTAGTACCATGCCACACAAGTTGAAAATTTTACTAAGTCAAGGGCAATAACTTTAAAAATACTAAAAATATCTACACGAAAATACCCAGGTGCACAACTACACATGCTGAGCAAAATTCCTGTAAGATTTCATGACCCTAGGTCAAATACCTTTTATGTTACGTGTGACAAAGTTGAAAATTGGAAATTTTTACTCAATCAAGGGCAATAACTCTAACAATACTAAAAATATCCAGGTGCACAACTACACATGCTGAACAACATTCCTGTAAGGTTTCATGACTCTAGGTCAAATACCTTTTAAGTTACGTGCGACACAAGTTGAAAATTGGAAATTTTTACTAATTCAAGGGCAATAACTCTAAAAATACTAAAAATATCCACACAAAAATACCAAGGTGCACAACTACACATGCTGATCAACATTCCTGTAAGGTTTCATGACTCTAGGTCAAATATTTTTTGAGTTACGTGCGACACAAGTTGAAAATTGCAAATTTTTACTAAGTCAAGGGCAATAACTCTAAAAATACTAAATATATCCACATGAAAATACCCAGGTGCACAACTTCACATGCTGATCAACATTCCTGTAAGGTTTCATGACTCTAGGTCAAATACTTTTTGAGTTACGTGCGACACAAGTTGAAAATTGCAAATTTTTACTAAGTCAAGGGCAATAACTCTAAAATACTAAATATATCCACATGAAAATACCCAGGTGCACAACTTCACATGCTGATCAACATTCCTGTAAGGTTTCATGACTAGGTCAATTACTCTTTGAGCCACATGCGACACAAAAAGAGAACGGACGGACAAGGGTAAACCTAAATGCCCCCCGCTATAGTGGGGGCACAAAAAAATGACACAAACTGAATACTCATGTTGTAACAACATTAACAAGCTTTTAACTCAAATCAGGCTAAGAATAGCACAACAATACAGTTTTCCTTTTAATTCCGAGTATATTTCTTAAACATATTTTGCTTCTTTTTTCTGTTTTGAGTGTCTAAGTAATGATCAATGTTTTTAGACTTTTGACCTAAGTGGAGTTCCTTTAATAATTTGATCTTAATTTCTAGTCGATTTATACTTAAAGTACCTGGTTAATGTTTACATAGTATTAGCAATTCTCCTTGAAATGTGACTCTCACCTTAAAAAAGAAAGAAAAAATTGTAATTAAATTTAGTTATTAGTTAATATCGACTATTCCAGGACACTGATGCTGGGACAGTAAATAAAACACAAGAAACTTTGTCAATCGATATAGGTTTTACATGTTTTATTAGCTTAACAATCACAATATAAATGTAATAGATTGCAAATCGTTTCAGAATTGGAATTAACCTATTTGCTTTGCTTTTTCTTCTCTTCTAAAAAAAAATATGGTGTCACATGCATATGTATGAACAGTACATGTATATCACATTAAAGTAATATTAGCCTGGTGTGTACGGTTGTTGGATCAAGTTATAATAATCAAGGAGACTTCACAAAATAGTGATATAACATAAGCACATGTATACTCTACAAGATGAAAATTTATTCTCCTAAAATCCCTAACATCGCGGTACTGGCTAAACATATTATTGAGCATGCTTCATATTGCCAATAATTAACATATTTTAAGTCTTAAGTAAAATCTTTGGTCATTTTATTTTAAAACATGAATTGCAAAGAATTAAAATATCCTAAATATTTCTTTTTTCAGTATAAAATTAATATTTCTTAAACAAATTAATACAGATTAATTATTATTAATTCCTATCAAAAAATTGGGAAATTATATTATATATCTGTTAAGCCTTCTTCAAAACCGTGTCCTGAGAGCTATTTTTAGCAAGACAGTAATGTTCATTTTCTAAAAATAGAAGCTTGGGAAATGAATAGTCTGCTTTACTAATTTACATGTAGAGAGCAGCTCAGTAAGTTAGAGGTATCGAGGGGTTTCCTTATTGTTTATGTATTTCATCGACAGCCATTTTCAATTTCCTACTTAATTCTTTTGATTTGACAATGATATGAAATGCTTTATCTAAAAAATAACATATTAAACCTTAGAAAAGATGAAGGCCACTTTATTGCCAGCAATAGATACTATGATAACTACATTAAAAAAATCTTTGGTTTCTCATTTTCTATAACATGTGTAACAACACTGCTAATAAATGATGGATCCTAAAAACATGTATTTGAACAGTATTTCCCTTTCAGAAAATACGTAAAAAATGTATGAAACTAATTAAAATAAAATCCTATCTAAAGGTATTCATTACATATTAAATTCCATCTTTTATGTACTTTTTATATAGTCTTTCCTTTGTTTCTTAGCTCTTTTGGCCAAAATCCAGAAAACCAGTCTAGGAAACAAGGCTCTAAGAATAATAACCAGTCTGTAGATAAATTTAGCTGGAATAATTTCTGGCTGATGTGACTCCACTGCCTTCAGTATAAGAGATGCCACTTTCTCTGGTGGTAAACCTTCTGCTGTTGTCTTGTCTAAAACTAAAATTGTACACAAATTTAATTAAACATTATAAAATATTTTAATGAAATACATTGTAGCTCTCTCTATTCTTTGTATAGTTATGCTAAAGCTACAAATACAGGGGATAAAAGAGGTGTAAACAATAAAACTCATAACATTAACTTAAGAAATTTATATCTCTGGAAATTAAGCAAATTTTAACAAAACAGAAATCAAAGATGAAATTTTATAATTAGTTATAAACGTTTCGACTTTCTATGATTTCATATTATTAGTTCTAAAGATTTCTGACAGGTTATATGGTCCTATACAAACAGTTATTTGTATATATAACCTGAGCCACTAAGCAAATAATGAATTTACATGTATAATAGAGCAAACTTCTTTTATAAGAGAAAAAATCTGAAATAACTTCATAAATTGACTTCAGTCTTGTATATAGTTTATATAAACATCACAATCTTCCAATACAAACCACCTTAAAAAACGTGCAGTATCTACACAAGTTACAAGCAATCACTTATTTAAGAAACTTCCATTTAAGGTGTTGTTTTATCTAGATAAAGAAATTACCTCCATAATTTGACCCATCAGCACAGACAGCGTTCCTGGAAAGATTGGTCTGTATATAGCCTGGACTAACTACACATACATGTATACCACTTGATGACATCTCTGCTCGTAAACAGTCAAAATATGCCTGAATAGCATGCTTGGATACAGCATCTAATATAATACAAATTTTATACATTAATATATTGGCACTCATGGCAACAAATGACTTTTCAAAAAAACACCATGCATTAAAATAAATTTGCATTGATTTCATTCGTTGAAAAGCTCTTACTGTCCTTCTCCAATAAAACCCCTGTTACTAAATGCTACCATTCATGTGTATATAATTTTTATAAATGTACATGAATGATGTCAATAGTCTTTTGCAAATGGCTTAGTTCCCTATAAAACTAGAGATATAAGGAACAAATTTGGACTGTCCCAAATAAGTTTGCGATAAGCAGAGTTTGAGCATTGTCCAGTTCTTGTTGGTACCAGGAACAGAATTAGAGTTTCTACATAATTATGCTTCCAACACAATCAAACTAGCATAGATTTTGTATTACATGTAACTAATTTCACTGGTGTTGATGGTATATACAGTTCCAAAATGATCCCAAAAAAGTAAAGGGTTGCTGATGCAACTACCCAAAACCTCTCTTTTCCAACAATATTCAGCATTTAGAGAAGAAACAAACTGTAAATACAACTGGTATGTAAGAATTTAGCTGCCTCAAAAATTTATAAAAAAAATCATACATACACGCAGATCTATATGCCTGTGATATTCTCCCTTGTACACTACTCACTGCCACAATATGCCCTGACCTTGACTGCTGCATATGAGGTAGTATAGCTGAAACAAACTAGAAATGTGTCATCATGCCACGGATGCCCCCGCATGCAGCCAAAATTTCAGATGCTATAATATTTAGTTCCAAATTTGTTTGCACAAATTATTTTTTTCATTTTAAGTTCAAAGCCCTTAAAACTTTTCAATGTTAACACAAACCATTTTCATACAATGTTCAAGGCACTGAAATAATTCATTCTTAACCTTTTGAAAATAACATATTGCATATTTGTAGCCAAAATAATGACTACATTCATTTCAGTGCTGAAACTGAAAGTTCAAAATTTTACCAACATTCAGGAAAGATAAGTTTGTCCAAAATCATTGAACCACGACCAAATTCAAACTTTAACTGCTTATTCCTAAGATGTATCTATATTATTTTCAAAGTGAAAGGGACATAACTCTGCCAAAAAATCATCGAACCATGACCAAATTCCAACTTGACCTGCCCATTCCTTTGACATATCCATATGTCAAATTTGAGTTGAATATGTAACACTGTTGGGTAGATAATGAACAGAAACTGTAAATTTCATATTATTTTCAAAGTGAAAGGGGCATTACTCTGCCAAAAATCATTGAACCATGACCAAATTCGAACTTGGCCTGGGCATTCCAAAAACATATCCATATGTCAAATTTGAGTTGAATGTGTTGTACCGTTGGGGAGATAATAAACAGAAACTGAAAATTTCATATTATTTTCAAAGTGAAAGGGGCATAACTCTGCCAAAAATCATTGAACCATGACCAAATTTGAACTTGACCTGCGCATTCCTTTGACATATCCATATGTCAAGTTTGAGTTGAATGTGTTGTACCATTGGGGAGATAATGAACAGAAACTGAAAATTTCATATTATTTTCAAAGTAAAAGGGGCATAACTCTGCCAAAAATCATCGAACCATGACCAAATTCGAACTTGACCTGTATTTTCTCATGACATATCCATATGTCAAGTTTGAGTTGAATGTGTTATACCGTTGGGGAGATAATGAACGGAAACTGAAAATTTCATATTATTTTCAAAGTAAAAGGGGCATAACTCTGCCAAAAATCATCAAACCATGACCAAATTCGAACATGACCTGTATTTTCTCATGACATATCCATATGTCAAATTTGAGTTCAATGTGTGCAACCGTTACTAGGATAATGAACCGAAACTGATGATGACGGAATGACAGAATGACGGAAGGACGGAATGACGAAAGGACGGAACAGGGTAACACTATATGCCCCGGCCATTACATTAAAGGGGCATAACTCTGCCAAAAATCATCAAACCATGACCAAATTCAAACTTGACCTGTATTTTCTCATGACAAATCCATATGTCAAGTTTGAGTTGAATGTGTTGTACCGTTGGGGAGATAATGAACGGAAACTGAAAATTTCATATAATTTTCAAAGTAAAAGGGGCATAACTCTGCCAAAAATCATCGAACCATGACCAAATTCGAACTTGACCTGTATTTTCTCATGACAAATCCATATGTCAAGTTTGAGTTGAATGTGTTGTACTGTTGGGGAGATAATGAACGGAAACTGAAAATTTCATATAATTTTCAAAGTAAAAGGGGCATAACTCTGCCAAAAATCATCAAACCATGACCAAATTCGAACTTGACCTGTCTTTTCTTATGACATATCCATATGTCAAATTTGAGTGGAATGTGTGCAACCGTTACTAAGATAATGAACCGAAACTGATGATGAGGGAATGACAGAATGACGGAAGGACGAAAGGACAGAACAGGGTAACACTATATGCCCCGGCCATTACATTAAAGGGGCATAACTCTGCCAAAAATCATCAAACCATGACCAAATTCGAACTTGACCTGTATTTTCTCATGACAAATCCATATGTCAAGTTTGAGTTGAATGTGTTGTACCGTTGGGGAGATAATGAACGGAAACTGAAAATTTCATATAATTTTCAAAGTAAAAGGGGCATAACTCTGCCAAAAATCATCGAACCATGACCAAATTCGAACTTGACCTGTATTTTCTCATGACAAATCCATATGTCAAGTTTGAGTTGAATGTGTTGTACCGTTGGGGAGATAATGAACGGAAACTGAAAATTTCATATTATTTTCAAAGTAAAAGGGGCATAACTCTGCCAAAAATCATCAAACCATGACCAAATTCGAACTTGACCTGTCTTTTCTTATGACATATCCATATGTCAAATTTGAGTGGAATGTGTGCAACCGTTACTAAGATAATGAACCGAAACTGATGATGAGGGAATGACAGAATGACGGAAGGACGAAAGGACAGAACAGGGTAACACTATATGCCCCGGCCATTACATTAAAGGGGCATAACTCTGCCAAAAATCATCAAACCATGACCAAATTCGAACTTGACCTGTATTTTCTCATGACAAATCCATATGTCAAGTTTGAGTTGAATGTGTTGTACCGTTGGGGAGATTATGAATGGAAACTGAAAATTTCATATAATTTTCAAAGTAAAAGGGGCATAACTCTGCCAAAAATCATCGAACCATGACCAAATTCGAACTTGACCTGTATTTTCTCATGACATATCCATATGTCAAGTTTGAGTTGAATAAGTTGTACCATTGGGGAGATAATGAACGGAAACTGAAATTTCATATTATTTTCAAAGTAAAAGGGGCATAACTCTGCCAAAAATCATCGAACCATGACCAAATTCGAACTTGACCTGTCTTTTCTTATGACATATCCATATGTCAAATTTGAGTGGAATGTGTGCAACCGTTACTAAGATAATGAACCGAAACTGATGATGACGGAATGACAGAATGACGGAAGGATGGAATGACGGAACAGGATAACACTATATGCCCCGGCCATTACATGGCGGGGGCATAAAAATACTGGTCAACTAAAATATTTCTGTGGTCTATGAATAGACAGAGCCAGCAAAATCTTTTTTCAAGTTACTTGTTCATCTTTATCTGAAGCATTTCTTAACTTAAACTCATTTGATATCTATACAGTATATTCTTGAAAATTGCCACTTGTCGGGACAACCTGGGCAATATGGACAATAGATTTTGGCGCCCCTGACTGTACATACTGACTATATAAAAGTCAAACAAGAGCCACCGTCGGGCGGGGGCAACGCTCGACTTTTTACTTTCTCTAAAAGCAAACAAAGAAATGTTTGAACAAAATCTTAACGTTTCCTTTTTATAAAATAAATCGGTCTGTCTTGTCACATTAGTTTTGTCTATATATTTTAAATAGAAACACGCAATTCTATAAATAGAAAATTCTATAAATAGAAACACGGAATTCTATTAATAGAAACACGCAATTCTATAAATAGAAAATTCTATAAATAGATACACGTGGTGGAGTCACGTGGTTGACACATGATGTCACGTCGTAGAGTCTCGTGGTTGAGTCACGTGGTAGAGTCACATGGTAGAGTCACGTGGTGAAGTCATGTGGTGGAGTCACGTGGTAGTCACGTGGTATAGTCACGTGGTGAAGTCATGTGGTAGAGTCACGTGGTGAAGTCATGTGGTGAAGTCACATGGTGAAGTCATGTGGTGAAGTCACATGGTGGTGTCACGTGGTAGAGGCATGTGGTAGAGTCACGTGGTGGAATCACTTCATGGAGTAACGTGGTAAAGTCATGTGGTGGAGTCACGTGGTGAAATCAGGTGGTGGAGTCACGTTGTGGAGTCACCTGGTGGTGTCACGTGGTAGAGGAACGTGGTAGAATCACGTGGTAGAGTCACGTGGTGGAGTCAGGTGGTGGAGTCACGTGGTAGAGGAACGTTGTAGAGGCACGTGGTGTGGTAGAGGCACGTGGTAGAGTCACGTGGTAGAGTCACATGGTGGAGTCACGTGGTGGAGTCACGTAGAGTCACATGGTAGAGTCAAGTGGTAGAGTCACGTGGTGGAGTCACGTGGTGGAGTCACGTGGTAGAGTCACGTGGTAGAGGAATGTTGTAGAGGCACGTGGTGGAGTCACGTGGTGAAGTCACGTGCTGGAGTCACGTGCTGGAGTCATGTGGTGGAGTCACATGATGGAGTCACGTGGTGAAGTCAGGTGGTGGAGTCACGTGATGGAGTCACGTGATGGAGACACGTTGTGGAGTCACGTGGTGGAGTCACGTGGTAGAGTCACGTGGTAGAGGCACGTGGTAGAGTCACTTGGTGGAGTCACGTGGTAGAGTCACGTGGTAGAGGAAACGTTGTAGAGGCACGTGGTGTGGTAGAGTCATGTGGTAGAGTCACATGGTGGAGTCACGTGGTGGAGTCACATAGAGTCACGTGGTAGAGTCACGTGGTGGAGTCACTTGGTGGAGTCACGTGGTGGAGTCACGTGGTGGAGTCACGTGGTAGAGTCACGTGGTAGAGGAACGTTGTAGAGGCACGTGGTGGAGTCACGTGGTGAAGTCACATGGTGGAGTCACGTGCTGGAGTCATGTGGTGGAGTCACATGGTGGAGTCACGTGGTGAAGTCAGGTGGTGGAGTCACGTGATGGAGTCACGTGATGGAGACACGTTGTGGAGTCACGTGGTGGAGTCACGTGGTAGAGGCACGTGGTAGAGTCACTTGGTGGAGTCACATGGTGGAGTCATGTGGTGAAGTCACTTGGTGGAGTCATGTGGTAGAGTCATGTGGTAAAGTCACGTGGTTGAGTCACATGGTAGAGTCATGTGGTAGAGTCACATGGTGGAGTCACGTGGTGGTGTCACGTGGTAGAGTCACGTGGTGGTGGTGTCACGTGGTGGAGTCATGTGGTGGAGTCACGTGGTAGTGTCACATGGAGGAGTCACGTGGTGGTGGTGTCACGTGGTGGTGGTGTCACGTGTTGGAGTCACGTGGTGGTGGTGTCACGTGGTGGAGTCAAGTGGTAGTGTCACGTGGTAGAGTCACATGGTGGAGTCACGTGCTGGATGTCACGTGGTGGTGTCACGTGGTGAAGTCACGTGTTGGTGTCACGTGGTGGAGTCACGTGTTGAAATCACGTGGTGGTGTCATATGATGGAGTCATGTGGTGTCACGTGGTAGTGTCACGTGATGTTGTTGTTGTTGTTGATGATGATGATGATGATATATATATATATATACAGACACACACACATACCAATAAATATATATGGACATCAAATCTGAGAAAATTCAGTAATTTAACCTTCAAGGTCAAGGTCATTAAAGAGCCCAAGTGTTTGATAAACAACAAGGTCTTGTCCTTAAGTATGTTCTGTTATAATATGAAGTTGATCCCTTCAATAATAGCAAAGTTACAGCCAGTTACAGCCAAAACAATGAAAATTTCAATAATTTGAACTTCAAAGTCAAGGTCATTAATGAGTGAAGGTCAAGGTCTGTCTGGTTATTTTTAAGGGTTATCCTTGAAGATTATTATGTTCAAGTTTGAAGACAATCCATTCAAAAATAACAAAGTTACAGCCAATAATAGCCAAAAAAATGAAAATTTCAATAATTTGACCTTCAAAGTCAAGGTCATTTATGAGTGAAGGTCAAGGTCTGTCTGGTTATTTTTAAGGGATATCCTTGAAGATTATTATGTTCAAGTTTGAAGACAATCCATTCAAAAATAACAAAGTTACAGCCAATAACAGCATGAACAAGCAAAATTTGGACTTTTAACCTTGAAGGTCAAGGTCATTTATGGATGAAGGTCAAGGTTAGTGTGGTCTACTGAAAGGTCTTGTCCCAAGGGTTGTTGTGGCCAAGTATGAAGACAATACACCAAGAAATAAAAAAGTTATGATCCAGGTACAAGTTTGCGGACGGGAATGGCAACGGCAAGGCCGCCGCGAATATAGCAATACCTCTACTTTTTTTTTCAAAAAAAAAAAAAAAATTGAGCAAAAAATGAAAGCTCTAAAAGGTAAATTAGAACAATCTTATTTAGCCTAGATGACCTTGACCAAACTGAATGCAAAGTATTAAGGATTTAACTCACTATAGTTTTGGAGCAGTACCTCTAGAATGTTGAAGAAATCATGACTATAAAGCAGGTAAAGTAGACAAATATCGCTTTTTTCGCTGATTCTTACATTTTTCATTCATGACTGTAAATAAATCTGTGTGACAAGATGAATTAGAAGTCTTAAAGTCTTAGCATTTAATCATTCAAGCACCTTGTCTGGTATATGCCGGAATAATTGGTATTTAGTGTGGTGCTCCAACACCTTTTTTAGTATCACTCAAGTATTAATACATTGTAAAGTTACATGTATCAAAAATGAAGATCAACGAGTAGACATCATGTGACAGCAGAAGAGTGTGACAAACAAAGGCAAATCTATATGCCCCATCTCATAACAAGAGCATCCTACGTGATATTAATGCTCGTCTGTTAAAAATTTCTAAGTTAAAATTCCAAAAATATATTGTTTTCAGATTTATGCCCCTTATCTGACAACTGCACTGTCATGATAATCAAGTATGCAAAGTTTCATGTTGAAAACTTAAAATGTCTGAATAATAGGCTACTTTACGGCTTTAACACCAAGATGACAACAACAACAATGACAACGCTGCAGCAATCATAAAAGCTCAATTTTTTACTTCGAAACACACAAGCTAAAAAGGGCTTTAAAAAGTTCTGAATTCAGTTGTTATCCTAAAACTTTTATCCACGAGTGCTAAAAAGATCCAAACCTTTAGTAAGTGCTATCTGTCCAAAATAATTAACTGTCATGACTTTCATATGTACATCAATATCTGTATCTTGTATACTTCCTCTATAACTTATACCAGCGTTGTTGATTAATATGTCAACATGGCCAAATATATCTACAGCTTCATCACCTTTCTTTTCTAGACTAGAGACATCTGCTAGATCAACTTGTAATACTGCCAAATGACTTTTGTGCTTAAAAACAAAACAATACATACAGTAAATATGTAGCTTTATGGGTACATAATATTCTTACATTACCTACCATCATCTCAACAGCTCTAGATTCAAGCTATATTTTATGAAAACTTAAAATCTAATGTATGATATTGTACATTATTGATAAATGGACAAATAAATCAATTAACCTACATGTAGAATAAGGCACTTGCAATCCACTTAAATAACTAAATATGTCAAAGTATGCAAAAATAGCTATTACTCCTATTTTAACAGGGTAGGTATATGGTGATAACTGAAGTAAATTCAGCAACATTTTCCACATAAATGTGGATTGTGAATATACATGCATTTAACTTTTAACACATGTTTCTAATGGTTGAAATTTGGACAATTTACTTGCTCCTCTGAAGGCATGCTGCCTGACATAAAATGTTGACTGTGGTTAGTTGCTGCACTGTTCCTAAAAAAGCACTGTGACATTGACAAAACTTTTGGATAACCCATTGTTATTTTTTAACTCTTAGGCCATTTTGGTGTCTGATATTTCACAAGATGTTTAACTGTTTTAGCTATTGTAACTCAGATACACATGTACATGTTTGTTAATTAAGTAAGGACATTTAAGTGTTACCTTAGGAAGTTGATCAGCAAGACTAGACTTAACCTCCTGTAATTGTTGTACATTTCTCCCTGCAAGTATCACCTTACAGCCATGCTTAAAAAATACTTCAGCACAAGCTGAAAAAACAACAAACATGTACATTTATTAACATTCACATTTTTCATCTATTTTCACCTAATCTTTATTTTATCATTCCGAGGGATTTTTTTCTCTCTCCAGATATTTACTTAAATCAAGCAAATATTTCTTCAAGTTAATTGCTACAATTTTCATTAATCTTATATACAATTTATTATTAAGCAAAAAAAAAAAATATTGAAAACAATTTTGAATCAAAATATAAACACAATTTATATAACAGAGTTACACCTTCAGATACATTTTCAAAATATGCATACTGCTTCCATCTGTCACAAAATGATCAGTTCACTTAAATTCAATAGAAAAAGTGTATGCATCAAGTGTATGCAGCCAGTAGGAGTCCTGGTCAGGCTGCACATTTTTTTCTCACCATGTGACACTTCATATTTATAAGCTTGACTTACCTTTTCCTAACCCTGAACCGGCACCTGTAATGAGCACAACCTTTCCTGTTACATCAGTCTTTTTCCTGTTGTTCAGCAGCCAGTATATTAGATATAATAAGCTTGCTGTTCCTCCAGCACCTACCAGCAGTGAATCAAATGTCATACCTCTTATAATGGCACAACTTCAACCTGAAACAAAAATTGCACACACTAGAAATAATCTAACTCACAAAACTATACATAATTATCTTACAACTTAACTATAATTTTATGTTCCTTATTGTACAATAATTTGTAACCCTAACCATCTCTCAACACCCATAATTATAACCTTGACTTTCAGAACCACCAGCAAAAATCTCGCGAAAAATTGATAAAAAAATAAGAAGGAAATAAGATGATGAAATGACCACATTACATGCCAACCTTGAGCATGTTGAGCAAGTCAAATTTTCTCTGTGACAAATGATCTCATACATCAAGTCCAATATTTGTTATTTAATGTCTCACATCGCTGATAAAAATATTATGTGGGATTTAGTAGTCAGTCACTTGTGGAGAATTATAAATATATATATTGAGCAATGAGTTACTTGTAATACTCAACAAATAAATATCACAGTTATGGGGAGCAGTGGTCTAGTGGTTTAGGTATTAGCCTCTCAACCCAGGGATCATGGATTTTAACCTCTACTCTGGTCATGTTTCATCACATGACACAAGAAACATTTGCTAATAGGCCATTTACCGACAATAACAGAGACATAAAACATATAAACTAACATGTAACAGATCTGAAAAGTAAAAACATTTAAAGCTAGACATCTTAAATACATGTAGGCCTAATTTAACTGGTACATTGTACATGTATATATGTATAATACATGTAATAATAAATACAAAATAATTGTCTTGAACAAGCAAATAAAAATTGTAGCAGATTAAAAATTCTACTGAACTAATGAAATTAAGTTATTCAAAAGATTAAACAAAATCTACAGGATGCTGGCAACTGCAGCAAATATATTGAGACACAAAAAAACTTAAATTTATTAATACACAGCAGAAACATTATCATCATGTGCAATGAATAATCAACAATTACATAAAAAGTAGTTAGTTTGCCAATGTCAGGTTGATTCAGATCTGTAATCAAACAGTCAGTCTTCTTTTATTCAACAGTCGAATTCGCTATCATGCCTCGATATTTTTCAAAACACTGAATTTGTAAATTTCACTTGTTTGTAATCTTATCAAACTGAAAGTAGCCGGAAGTGTAAATCCTGCGCAGTGATACGATGCGCATAGTCAACAAAAAGAAATGTTCAAACAAGGCACATTTAGACATGGAAAACAAAATCGTTTCAGGCAAATAAGAAAGCAATGACCTTAAGTGGTTGTCCTCATTTACAAGCCTTAAAGTCTGAAAAAGGCACTGACTCATACAAAATTCTACATGCGTGCTTCATAAGCTGTAAAACTGCGGATGCAAGACGTCGCAAGGTGACTAAAGATTCTGTGATATTTGTGACACAGCTGACAGCTAAACAGCTGAATGATAAAAACACATTTAACGGAAGAGAATCATATGAAAATTTATAATTTAAAGAAAGAATTTAAATAAAAAAATATCGTCGAACTTTCCTAAGCTTCTTTCGTGTTCGAATATGTTTACTCATTCTGGTGCAACCTGGTTGCCACACCTTCCAATAAAAATTTTCACAGTTCAAATATTTAAAGCATAAATCAGTCTCAAATCCATGCATTATTTCGCCTGCCTGTCTGTATATAATTATTGAATACTTTATTAAACAGGTGTTTAAAATAAATTTTATACCTTGATTTAATCTTTTTCATTTAAAGTAATGAATTTATGCTAGACCAATTAGTTTTTCCACAGATGTCTTTTGTTTATCAATTCATCAGAGTTCATTCAAACCATTCTTTTTCAACAAGATTCTTTTCTTAACTTATCTATCTGCTTGATTATAATGCATAATTGCAAATTATTCTTATAATTGCAGGCGCGACACGGTGTCTGTCACACATGCCGGGAAGATGGGGCACGTTTACATGCCTGCCTTTCATGTGTCTATTTTGGTTGCTATGATGACCATCATATACAGGATCATGCCTATGTAAACAAGCACTGGCTAGGTATATTTTTTCAGGGAATACTTGTTTTATTTATATACGTGTTTCTATTATTTTTCATTTATTAATGTATACTTATTTAAAGTTACTGAGACAGCATTTAAAAAATTTAACATAAATGTTCATCGTTCATCAATTCTCTTACTTTAACCATTCAACAGATTAATATTTCATATTTACAAACTGGCTTTTCATGTATGTTCTACATTGTACACAATGCAACACACAGTACACATTTATATGACATGTAATATTAACTGATAACAGTGAATAGCCTGGGTTACTGTTTTACTGAGGTTCATGATTTTGTTATTATTGAACTTGATTAACTTAAACTGTGAAAAGAATTTTTGACCTGAATTTTATACATTAAAAATTACATTGTATATTACATGTTAGCACTGTTTGTTTATACATATTCAGTTCTTCCTAGAATGAAATTTTCTTTTGTTCAGTATAACTTATCTTTAAAGTCTCTTTTCCTATCAATAAATGGTTTGATTTTTTTTAACTTACACACAATACTAAGGCTTATTCTTTTATAAATATTTGATTTTTTCCAGCTGTGGATATGACTTATGGGATGATTAATTGTTTTGCATGCAGAGACTATGTTTATGATAGAGATTTTGAAAAGATAGCCAGACATTTGAATAACAGGAGCTCATCACAGGGTATTATGTTTTAAAAACTATAGAAACTGTTTTAAAAAAAATTTCGGTAAAACTTACTGAATCTGTACTTTGCATAGTACATCAAAAACAGGTACATCATATATGAATCTTACACCGGCTGTCGGTACAGTCCGGAATATCTAGCTCAAGGGTGACTGTTTACGGCGGTAACAAGGCTCTGCCAACTTACTGCTAAACAGTTACCCGAGAGCTAGATATTCCCGTCTGCACCAACAGCCTGTGTTTGATTCTTTTCCTTGCATATTGCATATCAATTATTTTCAGAACATAAATTACGAAAACTGTTATTTTCATTATGCACTTTTTTCTAATACTAGCATATGAACTTACAACTTCATTCATAACGGTTAAGTGACGTCATTCTAAGAACGCAATTCATTCATAAAAGGCGCGCAGCAATGACGTCATGTAAAGCACGCAACTTGTTGTTCATGTAAGACAGGGTTTTCTAGCACTGATGTAAACGGTAGATAATCCTGTCTGATATGCAAGAAAATGGGAATTTATGTTTATCTTATAAATAGTCCTACTAACTGTTTTAATTTTCTTGTCTTATTTTAGTTGCATTTAAGTATACAGTTGTTATACTGACCTGAAAATTTGTGAATTACAACTTACATAGAACATGAAAAAACTGTTATAGTTCAGTTTAGAGTAGGATTGCAAAAAACTATTTTAGTGTAATTAATTATTTACTTATTCAACTATGCTTAATTTTAAGCCATCATTTATTCATTAGTTTTAAGCCATCATTAATTTATTTTCAGGTGTATTGAACCAGTTTGTGACATGGCATCCAAGTCATAGAGAACTAGATATACTAAAGAAAAATTCTAAAAGACGTAGAGTAGAAGAAAGCTCAACAATAGGTCAGAATTAAAAGAAATAAAATATAAAGACTCTAGATTTAAAATTGGCATCAGTTTGAAGTGTAACATCTGATTTTTCGTTAAGATCATCATCTAAAAAATGACAGAAATGGTTAAAAATAATATCTGCTCACTGCTGATATTTTGGTAAATTTCTGGTTATATTTAACATTCTAACATGCTTCACACTATTCCCCTATCAAACAGATAGGGCAATCAAGTGCATTATTACACAATATATCTTTCAAAATTAGCTCCAAGACTTATGCTTAGACAACAAAATTTCTACAGATTATAGAACCTTTCATTGCACTTTTTACCATTTAATATCAGCCTTTGTTTACTTAGATGTGTGTAAGGGATATTTATATGAACCACCCAGGTTGGTAAAATCATTGTAGAGTGTCTAAGGCTACTGAAAAAATTTGAATAACAATTTGCAGCATAATATAAACCATGGTTCATTCATATGTACTTTCTTACTTATAGATATTAATTTATTTCGCAGGTTTACGAGGTTTGATAAATTTGGGTAATACGTGTTTTATGAACTCAATAGTTCAAGCATTAATCCACACACCGGTGCTACGTGAATACTTCCTTGCTGATAAACATATATGTCAGATGGCAAAGGACGCAAATGAGCAATGTCTTGTTTGTGAACTCTCCAGGATCTTTCAAGAGGTGGGCATTATTATTGAATTTAAGTTTTACTGGAAATTAAAGTACATGAATTTTAAGCATTCACTAAATTAGATTTAAGATTGACAAGATTAGAAACATTGCTGAACATAATTTTTCAACATTTCATTATAAAAAGTTATTTAATGCAAATCATCGCCAAATGTATTGTTTTCTTTTATCTTTAGCTATTTCCTGTTTTTTTCCACAGACATGGGAAGGGGCAAAATAAAACATTATTTTTGCAAAAGGAGAAGGCAGATCTTGTTGTAAATTGATTTTAAAAAAAAATCAGGGGTGTGTGTAAGGTGGGGGGCTTCCCTTAAATGGTCCCTGTTCCAGACACAATAAAAGCACTGTTCACTAGTATTATTATTTTATTGATTTAATAATGAATTTTCTTGCAATTATGGTACTATATCAGTTAAAACTGATTATTAAACCTGTATTGAAATACAATCAACCCTTTTGCACTGCATATTGATTGCATACATTGATTGACAATAAAAAAAACTTTGAACTGCTGTTTATTTTCAATTTTTGAAAGCTTAACAATTTAATATGTGCTTTAAAAGTCATTGTTATAACAATCATTTTTGTTTATCAAACAAATAAAAAGATAAACATCTGATATTGGGTAAAAAGTCCACAGACATATTCCTTAATCAATGTTAAAAAATCAACATTTTCGCAACTTGTGCTGCAAGTAAAAGCTTTGCTAAAGAATTCTAGACATATTTATAAGCTGTGATAAAGTGTGTTTAAATTGAAGAAATGATTAGAATGTTTCAAATTGTATTTTTTTGTAGTTTTACTCTGGTATAAGCTCTACATACATTCCATTCCGGTTATTACATCTGGTGTGGACTAGTGCTCGTCATCTAGCAGGTTATGAACAACAAGATGCTCACGAGTTCCTCATAGCTGCTCTAGACCTGCTTCATAGACATTGTATAGGTAAATATCATAGTTATTGTATAGTTAATATATCATAGTTACTGTATTGGTAAATATCATAGTTATTGTATAGGTAAATATCATAGTTATTGTATAGTTAATATCATAGATACTATATAGTTTATATCATAAATACTATATAGTTAATATCATACATATTGTATTGTTAATATCATATACATTGCATAGGTAAATATCATAGTTATAGTATAGTTAATATCATAGATATTGTATAGGTAAATATCATACTTATTGTAAAGGTAAATATCTTATTTTTTACTGACAGTATGCAAAAAAGAAGCTACTTACATTTCAATCAAGCATTATTTTAAACAAAAACTTGATATTTTTGTTCTTATACAAAAATGTGCTCCAAAAGAACAGTATAGAATTATTTCAAAACTTAATTTGTAAATATTACAGCAGGATCAAATGGAAGGAGTAGTAACAGCCCACACAATTGCCAGTGTATAATAGACCAAATCTTCACAGGGGGCTTACAGTCAGATGTCACCTGTCAACACTGCAAGTATGTTTCTATCTTTCTTATAATTTACCCTTTACTTTACTTTTGGACCATGCTGGAAGGTAAAGGAATTGTCCTTTGCCTCCAGCATAGAGCCAGACTAGCCTGCACGTCATCACAGTCTGACCAGACCCTTATACTGTGGGCAGGTCAATTTTTGTATTTTGATAATGAAATCAATGAAATTTTGAATGGACTGTTCTAATTTCAAAGCCGGGTAAACCCATTACATTGAATCATCCAGAGGTTAAACAGATAATAGTTTTTGAGCAATATTATATCAAATAATATATTGACAAGATTTAAGACAGAGGGTTGCAAGCAGTTTTTAATATTCAGCAATGTTGGATGACTTTACAGAAGTTACAAAAGTAAACGTAACTTTGGCTTATAATTTGTCAAATTTTATGATAAAATAGTTTAGGTTTGATTAATGACTGATATATTTGTTTCTCTATGTATAATAGTGATATATACAGTTAAAACTAGTCAGGTGTTTTAACCATTTAATATTTCATAAAAGATATAGAGGATATTCAAGATATTTTCTATAAATACAGGATTTATTGTCATGGAGTGGTATGAAAATAAATATTTCATGAACGGTAGCCACGGGTGAAATATGATAATTTTCATACCACAAGCTTGAAATAAATCTTGTATTTATAGAAAAAACTGGAATTTTCCGTTTTAAATGTATTATACACCTTTTTTGAAAGGTTTTCCCTTCTTGTTTTGTATATTGGCTGAATTTAGAAAAAAGTAGTCTGGCAAGACACCAGTGAAAATACAAGAAATATGTTTTACTGCAGTAAAAATAAATTTTGTACTGTGAAAAAAATACAAAAAATGGAAATACGAAATTTATTTTATCAATATTTCATTTGTAAGTCTATGATGAATTGATATATAAAATATATATAATAACATTAAGGAATAAATATAATACAATGTAATCATGTTTATTTGTATATTTCAGTAATGTATCTACAACTATAGATCCTATATGGGATATATCACTTGATTTAGGACCAGGTTTATATAACGGCTCACACCCTGCTCCTATAACAGGTTAGAAAATTTTATATAATTTGTGATTAACATCATTATAACATTTGCTAAATGGGGCATAGGTGGCTGAGTGGTTAAGGTGACTGACTTTAAACCATTTACTCCCCAGGGCTGTGGGTTTCGAATCCTGACCTGCACTCTGTCAAGATTCTGTCATGTGGAGCAGCTATCCAGCTAGCTTATGGAACATCATTGGTTCTACTCAGGTGCCTGTAATTGCCTAAAATAATGATTGGAAGGGCGCCTTATGTCTTCCTCCACAGTAATGCTGGAAAGTCGCCATATTTGCAGTGATGGAGCAATGAAAAACACGCCCCCCCCCCTCTTCCCCCAAAAATAAGCCCCAAAAAACAACATGTTTATACATGCATTAGGGTATTTTGATGAATGTTAATTAGGACATTTGGATACATATATATATTGGGGTATTTGTATGAATGTGAAATAGCATATTTTGGATGGCTGAAACGGATATTCAGATAAATATTAATTAGTGTATTTTGATTAATGCTTAAAAGGATATTTAAATAAATGTTTCTTAAAATATTTGAATGTTTGTTATAAAGGTTATTTGGGAAAGAAGGTGATATATATTTATATGATTTATTACAGGGTATTCAAACAGTCCAGGAAACTACGATCCTACCTCATTACTAGACTGCTTAAAGAGGTAACATTTCACACATCTTGTCTCATAGAATTTATAATAAAATGATGTTAAGTCAATTCAAGTTGTTCATTTTGAACTATTTGTCTACTGGTGTTTATAGTTAGCAGAGACTTTATCCATATTAGATTCAATGTTTACAGCAATTCTGGTACAAACTCATGTTTCAAAAAACATTCAGTAAATGATCAAATGATATTCTCCACATGTGACACTTTAGATGTGGTGCCAGTTTATCAACCTCCAACGTTTGGAGGGTCATTTCGTGTATTGATTTGTAACATAACATAGTGTAAGAAAAAAGAAGATTAATATGTGATCTAGGAAATAAACAGCAAACTCCTTGATAAAGAGGGTTTTAACCCCTCGAAACATTGACGGTTGATAAACTTTGTGAATTAAATAGTTATCTATTAATTGTTTCCAGAGTGGTTTTCAAAGTTTTAGACTTACAAAACAAAACAGTTTTAAAAAACAACACACAATTGAGTACCAAGATTACATTTTCCTATAATTTCTTATTTAATCAAAGTTTATAAAAAAAATGTTTCAATGTTTCATTTTGTTATCATTATCATAACATAAAGATATAAAAGCCCTAATTAATTTAAATACCAGTTTGCCTGAATGACAGTGCTGCCTCAAGTATTACTAATGTGAACTTAATCAATGATGTTAATTGTTTTCCAGATTTACAAAACCTGAACACCTAGGTAGTTCAGCGAAGATCAAATGTAGTAACTGTGGTTGCTATCAGGAGTCAACTAAACAGCTAACCATGAAGAAACTGCCTATAGTGGCTTGCTTTCATCTTAAGGTATTTCACAGATCTAGAATCTTATATTTTGAAGTGTTTACCTTGCCGTTAATGTTTAAAATAAAAATCTGAATTTTCCTTGAGATGTTAAAAGTTATGTATAAATAGACAAGGTTACACAAATTTCCATAGGCTTTTAATTATTTCAAGTGTTAAAAAAAAATCTTTAAAAAGTAAATATGTCAATTAAAAAAAAACTGTTATAAGTAGTTTTCTCATGGCAGCAATCAATTCTAGAATATATCATCTGTCAAACAGTACATGTAGATGAATCTTAAAGCAGTGTTCAGCTTTCCTAAAGGTTTAATATGTTATTTTAACTAAATCATTCCATATTATTGTCAAATCAAAAGAATTAAAGTGGCGTCTGCTTTGGAAATATTACCTTTAACTGATCTCTTTATTGATGAAATATTACAGCGGTTTGAGCATTCTACGGGTTACCATAAGAAGATTTCTACGTATGTTTCTTTCCCAGAAGAGCTTGACATGACACCTTTCATGTCGTCCTCAAAGACCAATATCAATGGCAGTGTTCATATCTCTACCAAAGGGCTTTCATGTAAAAACAAGTAAGATATTCAATTTTGTCCTCATTTTATGACATAACTTTTCTTAGTCACTTACAGTAAGTCTGAAAGTTCAAATTTTGTATGATTTATCATCAGTCTTATAAAACTGGATATTTGTAATGTTTATTCTTGTCATATAAACTTGACATTTTATTTCAATTTAGGTAGTGTGGAAAACAATAAGGTAGTCACTTATTAGACATTAGTTGAGACATCATTTTGTGTGTCTGGTAAATTTGCTAAAACAAGAGAGCTGTCATGACCATGAATTGCTCTCCAGAATTTTACATCTGTCTAAATGCACTCTGATAGCCTTAAAACAATGTATATTGAAATTAATGTAAGGTATTAAAATTACAGGTACTCTCTATTTGCTGTTGTCAATCACAGTGGAACAATAGAATGTGGACATTACACGTGTTTTATACGACAGCATAAGAACCAGTGGTTCAAATGTGATGATCATCTGATAACTCGTGCTTTGCCTCAGGAGGTGCTAAACAGTGAAGGGTAAAAATATTTTCTTAACCTTAAAATTGTTAAATTGAATTAGTTGCTTTCATTGCGATATCGAGAAATACAAAAATTGAAACTGGACAAATCTATTTAAGAAATTCAGCATTGGATTTTGGAGTTTCCTGGAAGGAAACTTATTGTTTTTAAAATCTACACACTTTCAGAAAATGTAAGTTTTAATTCTGTGCAAATTTTGTTCATGTATACTAAAACACAGACTCTACTATAGTTGAGCATGTACTAATGTACTGTTCCATTATTTTTTTCAAAGTAGGACAAGTCTGTTATACAAATCCTAGTATGTACAGGTTTATAGTTATTTATCAAATAAACTTAGGCACAGAATGCGCAGGAGTGTAATAATACCATTTAATAATAAAGATATTACACTAGCATAATAACACTTTGACGTGATTTAATTTGTGTTAAATACAAACACAGCATTACTGCTGTGGACGCTACACAAGAGGCACGTCAGTGAAAAATGACTGTTTTTAGTTGTAAACCTTATTTTGTGTATGCGATAAAGAGAATATTATATTCATGCAGATTCAATTCTAAATTTATTGAACGAGTTGAATAAAGCAATTTTTAATCTACATTCATTCAATATCCTCTATATGTTCAATACTTTATTACACTATGAATCATTATTATATTTTCAGGTATTTGCTGTTTTATCATAAGCAGATATTAGAGTATGAATAATGCTGGGTTGTGGTTAGTCCTCCGTTCAGTATTATATACATCATATACAGCCTCTGTCTGAACACACAATCAATACTGCCTGAACACATGTGAACACATACCTGACAATATCACTACTACAGTAGCGGAACACGTACAGATTATTGTTTGACTGGTGAGATATAAAGACGAGGGTTCAACTTTGATGTAATTTAATAAACTTGTAGAACAAGTTATAAAAGATAATCCTTACAGTATACTATGTCATAATTAGATGTGTTCTCACTATATTTCTGTATATTTTTTAGTCTGCTTAAACAAAAGATTCTATTTTAAGTGTTAAATCATTTCAATGTGATTGCCTCGCTAAAATCTGGCTGATAGGCGTGTGGATTTAAGAGCAATATTATTTCACACATTCCCAGATACATAATGTATTGGTAGGTAATTGCTCTAGTTTTGAATACTGCTGAATTAGATGTGAGGCTAGGGCCATCACAGTTTAGGGTAAAATATATTCAATTTTAAATAATCAAAGCTGGGATGATATTTATGTCGACATTTGTACATTTTAACCTAACTAATACAAAAAATGATAAAAAGTTAATTTATTTCTAAGCATGATAAGCGCACCAGGTTTAAGGAAAGAATTAATAGAATGATGGCATTGGGAGCATTCATCTTAACAATATATTGATAAGAAAAAATGTGTGTAAGTTATCCAGTCATAAAAGGTTACATAGTAAAGAGTTGTCCCTAACACATTTATGCTGTTTTCAAGTATTCTATTTACATGTAATTGCAGTCATCAAATAGAGTTTGGCGGCATGGCTGAGTGGTTAACTTGTCTGACTAGTAATCTTAAGTTCACTAGGCAAATGGGCTCAAACCTCATCAGCAGCAAGTCGTTTCCTTGGGCAAGAAACTTTACACTTGTAGCTCAAAACTGGTTGGTTCCAGGAAAACGGATTTGAAAAAGTGTCTATAAGCTTATAGCAGGACATTAGAACTAAAATAAATTCTGAATAAACCAAATAGAGTTTGAAACAAACTTTCCCACTGCTAAATTAAGTAAATTATATAAAACGTAAGCCTAGTAATTTGTCATCAAGAGCTTCCAACGCATGTGGTAAATTTCTTGAAAATGAAAATGAAAACATTTTTTCTGAGACACTTGGTATGCTATAATTTTATATAGCGAAAAACCAAGATTTTCTTTCAATCAAATTTAGTCAGTCTTTGTAGCTAAACTTTATTTTCACTTACTCAGTTATGAGAGTCCCTATGGTTTAAAGAAACTCAACTGAGGTTTTTGACATGACAGGACTGGAAATATTTTTTTCCGAGATTTTTGTACCATTTGATGGAGGTCTGGAACAGCAACTTTTGTGCAAAATTTCAGGTCTTTCTTTTTTCACCCTGTTTTTCCTGAATGATAATTTTTATTGCGCAAAATGACCCAAAAATGAAAAGCATTGCTATGTTTTTCACTGTAAATCGGGCTATGAACCACACCAAAATTGATGTTCAGTTTAATTATGAGTATAATTCTTTATTATCCCTTGCATAGTTTTCCAATTTAAGTGCTTCGCATGATCTATGTAAGAATTTCAAATTTTATGATTTAGGCTGTTAGACCTCAGTGGAGTTCCTTTAAGTTATAGAGATAGTTCTTTAATGTAGTATTTATTTTTCTGTTATGATAAGTATTTGTAGAACTGTTTGTTCCTTCTGCTAATCTAGCAGAAAATTTTTTAGGCTAATACCCTGTACAAACATTTGTCCAGTCTAGATGAACATTCACAGAATTATGTAGAGTCAAACTTGCTTAAAACATACCTTGACTAATAGTTGCTTTTCAAACTAGTATTTTACAGAGTTATGACATTTTGGCTTGATAAAATTTTTCAAAGAATAGTGAAGTTGTCCTTATCTCACAACATTTTGTAATAGTTTTCAGGTAAAATTTTGTTTCAAAATAACTAAAAGATATTCAATTTAACTTCACTCATATGCTCACAGTCAATAATGCAGGTCATTGAATAAGACCCATAACTCCAGCATTGATGCTGTTTTTTTGTGTCGCCTCTACGGAGTAGTGGCGACATATAGGGATCACTTCTCCGTCGTCTGTCTGTCCGTCTGTCCGTCTGTCTGTCTGTCTGTCTGTCCGTCCGTCCGTCACAAAACTTGTCCGGATTGTGTCGCCTCTACGGAGTAGTGGCGACATATAGGGATCACTTCTCCGTCGTCTGTCTGTCCGTCTGTCCGTCTGTCTGTCTGTCTGTCTGTCCGTCCGTCCGTCACAAAACTTGTCCGGACTACTGCTCATAAACTACTGGTGCAATTTCATCCAAACTTTACAGGAATGATCAGTACCAAGTCTAGTTGTGCATATTGTCAGCATTTTCCGGTTCAATGATTTTTGTCAGAGTTATGGCCCTTTAATAATTTTTAATTTTAAAGTTTGTCCGGACTACTTCTCTTATACCACTAATGCAATTTCAATGAAACTTTACAGGATTGATCTGTAGCTCAAGTCCTTGCGCATATTGCACGGGTTTTCCGGTTGAATGATTTTTGTCAGAGTTATGGCCCTTTGATAAAAAGGTGTTTTTTTCTTCGTGTTGCCAGATACACAAAAGCTTGTCCGGACTACTCCTCATAAACTACTGGTGCAATTTTATCCAAACTTTACAGAAATGATCAGTACCAAGTCTAGTTGTGCACTGTCCGTCTGTCTGTCCGTCCGTCTGTCACAAAATTTGTCCCAACATGAAATTGGCCATCATGAGGCGACACATGTGATTACTGATCGCTCTTGTTACCCACTGTAAATTAAAAAAAATTCTGCTTAAAAAATTACATGTTCTGTTCCACCTTTTATCTACTTAGAACATATTCACTTGAAACTCCACTCAAGTTTTTTTATTTTTTTATTTATGGTTCAAGGGCACTAACCCAGACTTGTAACTGAAGCTTGATTATTTTCCAAATTATTCCCCTTTGAGTAATACATTTCTCCATGATTCTTTGTTTAGGGATTGAGGGCCGGTTGTTGTGTCACATCAGTTGTTTGTTAAGGTTCAGATCTAACATACTAATTCTAATTGCATAATAGTGTGATACTCTAATGGGCATTAACTGTGTTATCTGCTAGGCTTTGCTAAATTATATATCATAATCTGTCTTATATTATCATATGAGCCGTGTCACGACAAAACCAACATAGTGCATTTGCATCCGAGCAGTTTGATCAGGATCCATGCTGTTATCAATCAGTTTCTATACTTGTAAAAGTGTTGGTAAGTGAACAGCATGGATCCTGATCAGACTGCGTGGATGCTGGTCACAAACGCGCTATGTAAGTTTTGTCGTGACGCGGCTCATATCTCCTTTTTCCTTCTAGACCATACACTGTTAACATTGTCTCCATGTTGCATTATGTATCTGTGTTCAGTATTTAACTCATCCAGTCAAACAATTTTTTTTTTTTCTTTTTCTTTTTTTCTTTTTTTTTTTTGAGAGGCACCCTAATAATCAAATTCTCCCTATAATTAAGAAAGATAACTCTTCTTGACCCACTTTTGATACACATTATACAGTATTTTCTTTTTGAACTTGTGACTTCCTGACTACAAAGATATATATCTCCATAGGTTTGATTGTTTAGTGTTTCAGTAGGGACATCAGTGGTGATATTTCTGTACAATGTGTAAATTGTTTTGAAAGATTGAAAAGTTTAAATATACATGATTTGATTATCACAGCAAACATAAACATATATCATATATGCTCTGCATATTAAGATATACTGCAAAATCATTATTATTCGTGGGAATTGATTTTTGTGGTTTGTGGTTACCGGGTAGGTCTGTTTTCCACTTTGGGGAAAAAATCTAAATCTTACACTAAAACAAACATACGTACATGTATATCCTATTTATTATATATAAGTATTGTACCTTAAGATGTAATGTTGCAAAATATAATAATTATAAAAACTTTATAGAACATAGTGAAAATACAAAAAATATATACAAGTAATGAGGTATAGCTTTGAATGTGATTTATTCCGAATGTTGAAATGATGGTCACTTTGTTCCTTAGGTCCTTTTATAATGAAGATTCAATCTAATAGCCTCTACCCTACCCCTATATTTAATTAAATGGTAGCTCGGAATGGTAGATTTATCTAACCTAATGTGTTCTTTAAAATTTTGACTAGCTCAAAGCTGACATTTTTGTTATAGAATATGAATTCTTTAGAATATGATTGAGTTGGTATTTATGTATATTTGTGATAGGTTAGATTGTATGTATTGTTGTACAGTTATAAACATAGTCTGTGAGTTTTTAAGACAAGTCTACGTTAAATGTCAGATTTTCAGTTATTTATCACATTGACCAACATCATATCTGAAATAAAGCTTGTTAGTATTCTAGTATGAGTATTAAAAGATCTGTAAAATTGACCGAAAACTGTAGATTTAAAAAAAAAACACTTGATTTTTGTTAAGATTCTTCTGACATAAGCCTTTATTACTTAATGTTGAAAAAATTGAGGCTTACTTTTCTAATTTTAAATCAGGTTTTTGTCTTATTTTGCATGGTAATACATAGGACAATGTTTGCCAAATGAGTGAATACGTGACTAAATAAAGCATGAGCTCAAATAAGTATTTCAACAAATATATCTGTTCCTATTATATTTGTTGTTTTCCAATGTGATGTTTTAACTTTATTAAGAAATACATTTAGTTTTGGGTCATTTGAATATGTTATTTGGCTTTTTGACAATCTGTTATTAAAATAACAAGTATGATGTAACTTATGGATAAAAAAAATGAAATTTTTGCAACACATTGTACATGTTTAAGAACAGGGCTCCAGATATTTTTTTATGCAGTAAAAAACATTAATTTTATTCCCTAAAGTATTTTGCAAATATTTTCTTTTTATAAAAGTTTATGAAGTTTTTTCCCAAACAATCTTTTAGACTCTTTTCTTTTACAGATAGTTTTTATTTAGTACACAAAATTCAATTTTTATTATTCTTAACATGATTAAATACTTTTTTAGTAGAAGTGGCACTACTCTGTTCATGTTGATAATTAAATTAAGCCTGAAGGAAATTTAGGCTGATCTGGAGCCATGTTTTGCGACTATGTGTTTTATTTATGAAGCATGCCTGATATTATGTAGAATATAATTATATTATAGATATATATATAGGTATGATATGATAATGTGCTAATCTTTTATATACTAGGTTTTTTTTGTGAATATTGTTTATGAACTTGGTGAACTTGCTTATATTGTTACCTTCCTGAGCATTGTAAAATTTCCTGCTTACATGGATAAACTATTTGTACTGTTTTATATTTGAACTCCTGTGATATGTTTATTTATAGTTTTGTGCATTTTTTCCTGCCCATTATTTTTCATTAGTTGTGCTATGACTTTGCTACATGAATGAAATTGCTGGTTTAACAAGAAAAGGTGTTTGTGTGTCCATGTGTGTGTTTGTGTGTGAATTGTAAATTGTATATTTTTTGAAAAAATCTTAGCATATTTGTATACTAATTGACATAAGTTTGATGATTTGAATTTTGTATGATAGCTAAAACTTGATTGATTGTGATTGATATTTGTGTATGGCTGCTGAAATCGGTTGATTTATGTTTTTGTATATTTCTTGTGCTGGGTGTTAAGATAATTCATAAAGATAATTCATTTATTACAAACTTTGTGAGTTTGAATGAAATATTTTTATTCAGAAATCAGAATGTATAATTTGTTCTATTTTTGAATAGTGTAATATCAGACAGTGTCTATGTTTTTTTTTAACTTGTAATGAAATTGTTAGTTTGTTTATGAGGGTAAATTTGTATAATTGTTGTTGTTGTTGAAGTGGTTCTATATACATGTATGAAGCAAAAATATGAATATGAAGTAGATTTTAAAAATAACATTTAATGCTAAAAAAGAATATGTTGACAGCTTGATGACAAAAAAGTGTGACCTATTAAAAATGTCTGTAAACTGAAATAAGAGAATATTTGTTCTAATACCCATTTTAAAGTGACATTTTGCCCATCTAAGTGAAAATGGTCCGTGGACAGGTAAAAGATCCACTTACTTGACATTCTGCCATATATTGCATTTAATTTTATATTTTACCCAGAAAAAAAATCCATGTGCCAAATGGAAATTTCTAGAAATAACCTTCAGAATATAGCGGTAATGTTCAATTATAAAAAAGAATGGGGCAGTAGTTGTTCTGAAATTATTCCTAAAAATGATGTCCAATAATGATTTGTCCAGATTGAAAGAGATGGACTATTCCATTTATGATGTTTAACAGGGAAATATATGTACATATGTTTTGATAAGTATTAGCAGTAAGTTATTTAGATGATAACAAAGTGAAATACTTACTTTGTATTTTAATTATTTGACAATAGTAAAGGAAAAAGAGGTAAAACTTTCAGTATTAGTAAAATAAGTTGAACATGGTATATGAGGACATTTGAGTGTTTGATGCATGTAGTAAGGTTTATTATGCCTTAACTATGATATATGGCATATAGTGTTTTCCTTGTCTGTGTGTATTTATGTGTATATGTGTTAACACATCATCCCCAATTCATACTTAGTCACAATATATTTTGTTATTTCTTGACAGAAATTTTAATCGTTAGAGACAATTTGTCATTTCCAAGGTCAATATTTGTTGTTTGTTTTTCCAAGGTCAATTGTCGTTTTTCCAAGGTCAATTGTCGTTTTTCCAAGAATTGTCATTTTTCCAAGGTCAATTGTCGTTTTTCCAAGGTCAAGGTTATACGCAGAGAAACAAGGTCAAAATCTCTGTCTATTTTTGTGTCTGACAAAGGCTGATATATAATTTTGTCATTTCTAAACAACTTAAGACATCTCGATAGAAATTTCAAATATCATGAGTCAATGTTTCACCCACAAGGCTCAGGTCTTTAGGTCTAAGGTCAAGGTCTTAAGATGTCAAAACTATGACCTATTGTCACATGACGTCCAACTCACAATTATAATACAAGTGTTTTCATGTCATATAGTTGGGGAGGAAACATCCTTGTTGTATGGATGCACTTTTAGTTACATGTATTAATATAGCACAGTATAGGATACAGTACGTTTGATACGTACACTATTAAGAAATGTAAAACATTTGTTACTAGAGCATTTTTTCATTATACATGCTAATTATCAGTTTTTGGATATAATAAAAAAGTGAAAGTAGTTTTGTTTTACTTATTTTCAATGTTTTGAAGGTTGCATTCCAGCAACTAACAATAGACAGAATACATGACCCTCTGGTATGAACGTTATTGTGGCCATTGTATGTGTAAAGCTGTGTCCCACAAAATAACTACTAATATTTGAATTGTAGGAGTTGTTTTTAGTAGAAAAACAGCTGTCAAATGTACAAGTAACATAATTAAAGCTAGCCTAAAGCAAGCATTAATCAAGAAACTACCTTCAATGTAAGTAAAGGTAATGTAAATAAAGGCCTATTTTGAATATAGCCAATGTAATGTCAGAGGCATTGTGAATATTTAAAAATATGTTTTTATTCATATGAAGATGTTCAGCTTAACTTAAGACCCGATTGTTAATGACTGTTTAAATAACAGGAAATGATCAGTAAAACAGTAAGTAACTACATTTGTTTACTGTGTTGGCAAGAAATAATACAAGTTGAAGTAAAATAAAGCTTGCAAATATTGTACAGTGATAGGAAATAACAGGCGATTGTGCCCACAATAAACCATACATATGATTTCATTTACCCATTGTGAATGATGTATGTTTTTGTTAAAACGAAACTCTTCATATACATGTAGATCCGTAAATTCTAGGCCATCACCTCCTCAACAGATGTTATCATTTGCAATATGTTTAAATTTTTAGTTAAAACATTAATTTTTCATGGTTGTATGTTACTATATATAATCTTACTATATCTTACTTATAATGAATATAAGCAAATACATATATTCCTGACACCATACATTCAATATACGAGTATATCTGTTGTCAGTTTAAACTCCGGATCACGGCAGTAAGCCATATTGAATTTACAAGAGCACAGTTGAGCCAACGTATCGTTCCTGGATAGACTGTCTAGCAGTTTACTTGTTTTAGTGCCTCCACTTTCGCTTCTATACATGCCAGAGCGAAGGTTCTCTGCGAATGACTCATGGTTATTCACAACGAAAGTGGCCTGCACTAGACGGGAATCAAACTCGGTCCAACTACCTACCTATTGAGCTAACCGGACGGTTACACGAGTATATAACGAGTGCTCTAACATTTATTAAGTCATTATACATTTACTTGGTTTCAATACATTGATTATCATGAATATAACGGTCAAATCGTTAAATGAATACATCAGTTAAAATGGTGTGAATATATTGATTAACTTTGTGTATTGGTAAAGTTGAGAATCTTTGAGATTAACTGTTATTAAGATACTTTGAAACCAAAATTTTACAATAAACTGCAGACAGCGCGTGACCTTTATAGTAATACAACAATAAATTTAGAGACATGTATATATTTTCTAATACAATGTACATCATAAAATAAGGTTATCAATAACATTGTAATACTAAGTAGTTTTTTACAATTTCACTATTATGTATGAATTTTACGCAATGAATTGTACGATGATGATACTTAAATAAAAGATAAATAAATAAAAACAATATGTAGCATATACTTTATCACAAATAACATAAAACTTTTACACAAAACAATAATAATGTAAAGTGTAGAAATTAATCTAATCAAGAGGTACAAAATTTTTGAGGAAGAAACGTAGCAAAATAAAGATACTGTTTTTTTTTAAAGAATGAAAAATATAACAACAAATGTACATTCAGGCATTAAGGGCGCTGTGTTATTTGATGATAAAAGATATTACGGAGATAGAATTACTTTGTTTAGAAATATTAGAAATTTAAATTGAATAACTAGTACATCAAGGAAATAAATACGGTAAAGGTTACTTTCATTATCAACAAAACGATCTGACACTCAACCTTAAAACCATCTGAAGCACTTACTGCCAGTTCAACTTGATCTTTAGTAAAAATGTTTTAAATGTTCATAGACACTTCTTAATAAATGAGATAAAGTATTTTCTGTATATACAAGGTCCAAATCAGTTTCGGTTATTCATTTAACATTCTTTACTTCCGAGAGGATGTTTTGGTCTCCATCCGTCAATTACTTTGATAAGTTTTGATATATGATACCAGTTCATATTAAAAGGGTCTTCTTTTAGTTCATCTGTTGTCAAACTTGTAAGATATTCCCCATCAAGTTGGTCTGCTTTACAGATATTGGCTAGTTTTGTTAGTGCACAGTCGTTAAGGCAATCTACAACCTCATCTACTGTATAATGATAAAAATCAGCTTTTCTGTTTCCATTGTCTGAATTTATATCTGCGTGAACACTTTCTGATTCAGCATTTTGATGGTTTGTTTTAGAAGGAACTGCAGATGTGTTTAAAGTTGATCTTGGGGTAGCATACATTGCCTGACTGTCATTTGTCATGGTGCTATTTCCAGAATTTATAGGTCTAATTCCTTTTGGAACACTGTAGTTACTGTCGCCGGAATCACTATAATCCTTGGCAGCTAATTTTGTCCACGTTGGAACGCTGTAATCCGCATCTTCAGAGTTTCTTTTTTTATCTTTCACAATTTTTGTGTACTGATTGTCAGTTCTTTCAGCAGTAGAATTTTCACTTTGATGACAGTCAATGTCAGTAACAGATTTAAGTACAACGGTAGACGTGGGATTAACTTCAGTACATATACCTGTCGGTTGAACCCATCCTACTGGACGGTCATAATCCGCTTCGTTTCCAGTCTCGTGTTTATTCATATCTGTTTTGTTTTTCTCTTGTCTTTTAGATGAAAATACTGAATTATCTTTTGCAACGATTCTGTTTAAAGCTTTATTTTCAAGCAGCGCTTTCGGAATGTTTTCATAGTCTGCATCTTTAAACTGCGCTGGAAGAACATAGTATTCATCAGTCTCGTCTTCTTGTATTTCATTAGGAGCCTCTGCCAATGGATTTCCTTGAATTCCAAGAGTTTTGGAAGATATGGCCATTGTTGACACCGGTTCCTTTACTTTTCGTTCTTCTAAATATGATTCGTGTTTTACTTTTGATGGATGCTCATAGCATGATTGGGTCCAGTTTGTTGGAGGTAAATATTCATTATCGTCGTCTGTGTTACTTTCGTCATAAGGTGGTCGTTGTGTCAAAGTGACTTTTCTAGGTACATCTATTGTATTTATTTTATGAGATTTATTTTCTAAGTCTTTTAATTTTTTTCTAGAATGGCTGTTAGCCTTGTCAATGACAGTTGCAAGTGGTTCACAGGGGTCACGCAAGTTGACATAATCGTCTTTTTCATGGGTTGTTTGTTGCGGGTGTTTCACTTTTGGTATAGCGTAATCCTGATCTATATCTTCTTGCTCTTCTATTGTACTTAAATTATCGATTTTTTCAACGTGTATAACTCTATCATTAATATAAATCGCTTCGTCTGTCAGTTTGGAGTATGGCATTGAAAATCTTAAACTGTTTAGATCGGCATCTTTTTTGTCCTTTTCCCGTGTTGGCGTGGCATTATTTTCGTGATGATTTAACTCGCGATTGTTTTGTTTCGTCATCTCTAAATCATCAGAGATAATATCGTAATCTCTATTAGAACCAGTACTTGAGTCTAGCTCATCTTTCTCTTCTGGTATGTAGGAAACAAATGAGTTGTTAGTAGATTTATCTTCATAAGTTGTTGCTCGCAACTTGTCATGACCGGTGGATGACCAAAATAAACTAGCATTCGACCATCGTTGCCTTAAGCCTACTTTACTTCTGGACGTTCTTTTTTCTTGCGACGAAACTTGTTGATTGCCAAGTGTCTGTGATGCAGGCTTTTCTGATGTCCCGAAACTTTCTGAATATATCCGGTATAATTCCTCGTGAACTTTGCCGAAACCTGCCCTTGACTTTTTAGCGACATATTTCAGATAATCTGGAAAATTCTGAACCGGTCTCTGCAATAAAAAATATATTTGTGTCAATGCTTACATTTTAAAAATAAATACATAGCTTTGAAAAATATATTTTATTTCTGAATACAGATACAAAGGGTTACCGATACAAAGTTTTTTTTACTTACCTGTTTATATCCATCCCTAACTTCAGTTTTGTTGATTTTGCTCATCTTTCTTAATTTAACTTGTAACCTTGTGATTATTCTGAATCAAAATATTGATACCGTCTAATTTATACAATATAACTGTATCGTTAACCACTTGAATCACGTGGCTGGCAAAATTAAGCTCACCTAGAACGCTTGGTCTCTCTATGCATTCAAACATATTTTAGCTCAAATTTGAATCGTTATTATTTATATATGCAGTAAAGAAAAAACCGTTTAAAATGTCGCGGCCATAAATCCTACTCTTGTGTAACTTTTTCGACTTTTTATATACTAGTAAATCCAAATTTAATACAAATTTACAATATTTATCTACAATTTAATTACTGATAAAATTTAGATAAACATTTCTTTGTTATATTCTAGTGACAGCAATATAAATGTACATCGTGAAAATTAAATGTATTAGATTCCTTTTCAAATCAAGCTTTACCAAATTGACGTCACAGTTTATTGACGTTAATGACTTAGTTAAGAAATTAGTATGAAAATATAATGGGGAGTAAATTGTATCAGCTATGATTAATCGTATGGTTAGTCCGGATTTCTCTGTGATTTAATATTGAGAATTATTTCAGATTATGTTATAAAACTAATGATTTTAATATAGATATTAGTCATTATTACTATTTGTTAAAATTAAGTGTCTGATCATAATTGAAGATGTTAACGTCTTCTTTGACAGGTATTCTATTTAACATTTTAAGACAAGAGGTATCAGAAAGATATACTAGTACTTTTTATGGTGGTTACCCTTGGAGTTTAACTAAGGCAATTGGCAGACATTGCCAGGTATAATAAACATTGTTGTTGGTGGTGGTGGTTTTGCTGTTGTTGTTATTGTTATAGGGCACGTAGTTACGAATGATTGATTATTGGTATGAATAAAGCTCCTTGGATAAATTGGACAATTATATACGTGTATATAAATCACATATGTCTGTCCGTTTGTCTGTTTTAATGTACATAGAATAAGATAGAGGTGAGCGACTAAGCTTCAGTATTCTCGCACAAACGGATGTACGGTCGCCACTTTATAATTATATATCTTATCTACATGATGTATAGATAAGAGCGTTCTGACTGTATATTACTGACTAATTAAATATTAAGTGATATTCAATACAGGAAATGAGTAGATAATTGCTAAATTTGTACAATTATAAGTGGATAATTATTCCCTTTATAATACGCAAAATCTTTATAATGTATATTGTTGTTATTTTAAGATAATTTTGTGTGTACTTTAAGTATTCACAATGCCGATATGACGCTGTTTTCACGTGCAATGATTCATTGATGATTTAAATATCATATAAGCCCTTCAGTTGTGGTTTACTTTCATGCATAATTCATATATTTGGAACTACTCATGTATATACAGTATATCTTGTTTCATGTGACATTATTTTTGTACTAAACAATTTATACCTATACTGTATACATACTTTTACCTCTGTTTACACCTTAAATAGTGAAAATGATGATCAGAAAAAAACAGCAAACTTGTTAGTCATACAGGTCTCTGAGTACCTGGCGGGATGTTTTGGAAAATTTAGCCTGACCCATTTTAATATGAAGTTTTTGACAATATTCTTCCGTACATCTTGTCAGCATCCTGCTTTACCAGTTTATAATACACAAATTCGTTCTAAAAAGTACATTTGGTATTTCAAATATAAATGAAGAGAAATAGATTCGCGCGGTTAATGCGTTTCAAAAGCATTTTTTAGTAAATTTTAATGTTTAGTTAGTTTGTTTTGTTTAAGTCAAAATGACACACTGTAAAGGTCACACGACGGACACGATCGGGCACCTAAGCTTAGCAACCTAGCGTTTGAGCTTTGTTGCACCGTATATGTATATAGTATATACCTTACACGCTAGCCGTATACGTTTATTGCGGACGTATACGGTATATATTACGATGAGATGTATTCGCGTTGCGTATACAGCGTACATATAGAAGTTGTGTAAGTGGTCGCAGTCACTGGTGTACTCGTAGTTATTAAGTCATAGTTGGCGTAGTGTACATGACCGAAATTGTCTTTGTCGAAGCCGAGCTCGTTAAAATCGTAGTCGTTGTCATAGTCGTGGTTGAAGTGGCCGTAGTCTGGACAAAAGAGCGATGATAATTGAGCCGTGTCACGACAAAACCAACATAGTGCGTTTGCGACCAGCATGGATCCAGACCAGCCTGCGCATCTGCGCAGTCTGATCAGGATCCATGCTGTTCGCTTTCAGTTTCTCTACTTGTAATAGGGTCTGTAGGCAAACAGCATGGATCCTGATCAGACTGCGTGGATGCGCAGGCTGGTCTGGATCCATGCTGGTCGCAAACGCACTATGTTTGTTTTGTCGTGACGCGGCTCAATTATCTACTTGACCATCTTACAAAAATGAGCTATATACAGTGATTTGCAGGATCTTGGCGTATACAGCATTAGATGTAAACTCTGTATGTTATTACAGTCGGTGTATTAAGCTCAGGCATAAGCTATATACATGTACGTCCTAAGCTGTATACGGTATTACAGTCAACGTATTCAGCCTTTAGATTTCAGCGTGGTATGGTCGTGTTTTGGGATCGGCGATTTGTTCTTTCCCAATATAAAGTTTAATAAAATGAACATATTCTGGTGCCAACCGTGGAAACTCTTTTTGAGTGATCCGTTTCGAATTAGAAATTGTATCAGTTTGGAGGTTGTTCTTTACAGCAATATAATGCATTTACACGTTTAAACGGATTCGTTTCGATTTTCATTCGTAAACGTTTACGATATTTTTTACCGTTTAATCAAAATATCTTGATCATTGCCTGTAATCATGGATTTTATCAATTCTAATTAGTTTATTCCAAAGTCAAAAACGGAAAATGGATGTTTACAACCTTCCACACAACATTGCCGTGCAACAATCGCTCGTGACAAAATACATTTTTTGTAAAGTATTTTTTCCTTCGATCTTTCAAAAGAGAGAAATGGGGATACAATGCAATAAATGTGTGCCGACACAATCGTGATGAGCCCTGAACATTATTTATTTGTTTATTTGTACATGTATTAAAATAGAAAGTGAGTCATCATCTGGCGAGTAGTATAGAACATAGAAGTACCACCGTTCGGTTCTTAACAATCGTGTGGTTGTAAACGTGGGAGCCTTAATAATGCACAAAACTCTAGGTCTTGAGATTTCCGCGTGGCTTGGAAAACGCCGTATACGGCATTACAGCCATCGTTTTCAGCTCGCGCGTAAGCTACATATAGTTGTAAGCTGTATACTCGGCGGGACGCTCTAGGATGGCCCGACTTGAGTGTACGGTCGCCCATATGGGCTTTCTGGCGGCGACCTTAAATAAAACGCATCAAAAAAAAAAATCTCCCAAAATCCAAAATCCTTGACTATAGGTACGTACCTGCAGAGGTAAGGGGCAAGTGACCTTAACCACTCGATCACATATCAAATACTTTGCATATATTATGGCACTGAAATAATATTATATTCCTTGTAGGGAAGACTGTTTTGAAGCAGTCCTCTTGTTCATATTTGCAAGATCTTTGACATTTTTGTAAATTTGCGTAAATGTTGCAATTTGTAAGTATTCCAGATGTATTGTTAGCGACTATATACTTATGCACACGTGCACAACTTATGTCACGTTGTCCAGATCAATAATACCGGTAGTTCAAACTCAGGACAATATATCAGCTACTTTGTAAAATTAAACTATTATTACAATAAAATTATTCGATAGTTCCACGAAGTAAATAATACTTTTATATACATGTATTAGTCATTATTATTTTATAAATTATTTAATATCAGAAATGAGAAATAGTGTTGTCATAGAGGAGAAATATAGAAATATACAAAAATGTATTTCGGGTAATATTTAGACAGATTAGAGTGAAAGTACAAAGGAACTTTTATGTGTATAATTTTTTACATCACATCCGCAGTTTGTGATTTCTTTTGTTCTTACATTCTTTCCACATTTGAATATGAATTGTTTTTGTTAAAAGTACAACTGTACTTTTTCCTCGTCCGATAAGTCGTATTTTTTGAATACATGTACACGTAACTCGAATTCTTTTCCATTCCTGGGAACAATTTTTTTTTTACTTCATCTACCCAGTAGCCATATAATCGTAATGTTTATTTACGTGAAAAGTAAACCTTTAGAGAGGGAAGCTAAAAAAATAGCATTAATAAAGCTTAAGTTTCATACCGAGGCAATACCGCGATCAAAGGACTTATATTAGTATAAAAGATTACTTTTATGACGTCATTCAATATTTATGTACGAGGGTCATACAAAAAGTTCTAGCACTTGGTTCAAATTTTGTAACTGCTACATTTCAATCCTAAAAATATTTTCTGTTTCAAACCTTCAAAGTATCTAAAAATGCATTTTTGATATCTCTCTGCCAAGCTTCAAAAAGTTGAAAAATAATGTGCCTTTTTGACTTTGTCGCAGACACTGATTAATTGCGTTGAGAACTCCTGGGCGTATGTCTGTTGTCAGAAAGTATTTGTTTAAGCCTGGGAAACAGAAAAAAGTTGCAGGAACTCACATGTAATTTAGGAGAAAAGGCGGATGGTTTACAATTTTTACATTTTCAGACGCCAAGAAAGACTTAACAGTCTAACAATTTTTCGCAGGTCAGTTTTTGATCTTTTCGCAACTTCTGTTTGTTATCGGCCCTTATTTGGGGTTAAAACATATATATGCACCCAAGTTAATCACCTGTCAGCAATACTATCACAGTCGTTCTATGTTTTCAGAAGTTCTTTGGCAAACTTAAGGCACTGTTTCTTTTACACGTAGCGTAAACATTTCTTAGACCCAAAAGCTTGGTCAGAAATAAATGAATACTGCCTCCTAAATTATTTTCTTTACTGACATTCTTGCATCCTGCTCTAATATAACATTTACTACATCAAGGTAACCGAGGTTGTAGATCTACCTGAACGGTAATGATTTTTGACAATTTTCCAGCTTTAAAAGCTTTGATCAACTTGCAGATTGTGCGCTTTGAAATGATCTAAGGTCCATATACGCCACACAATTCATTATATATATGCGTTGCAACTACATGTATATCAAGCCCAGTGTGTTGTCCATTGTACAATATGGTCAGTTAATTAGTCAATGTATATGACTGCATGTATTTCGAATTGCAATACCGTATAAGTGGTTTTTTCTGCGGGCTCCAAATTCTGCGGTTTTTCTAAATTTTGGCATGTTTTTATTTCTGCGGACTTTATTTCTGCGGGACATTCTTTGGACAAAACATGATTTAAGTTCTGCGACTCGTCTTATCAAAGTCTAAGTCACATTACCCTATCTATTATATTTTCATGTACACGTTCGCATTTGTTTGTCGTCGTCACTGCAAAACTTTATAGTAATTACAAACAATTATATTGTTTGCTTGCAAACCAATATGATGCGCAACAATAGAAAGGTATACATCTTTGATCAGCGTGAAGTAACGTGTGAAAAATATACCCCGGTAGTATGATCTTTAATTAAATGAAAATGACATAAGTTTACCGTATCGTATTAGATGACAATTAAAGTATACAACGATTATTTAGCAGTATAAGGGTTGGAATGGTTTAAAATATCTTTATTCTTAAATTAGCATAATTAACAATAAGTACATCCTTACAAACACACATTACATACAATTAGCCGACAGCAATTTTATACAACTTGAAAACTCGCTAACCGTTATAATCTGTTTGTCGTTATTACTTTAGACGAAACAGGTCACAATGAAGGATACATATCGTAGCAGGTAAGAGAAATATTCTGCGGTTTTTATTTCTGCGGTGCCGAAACTGACCGCAGAAAACGCAGAAATAAAGTCACCGCAGAAAAAACCACTTATACGGTATTATACAGTCATTTACATGCAAATGACATGAAACAAACCGTTTTAGTTAGTTAAAACTACGGAAACCTATAAGTGACATAACTTATCGAATATCCTCGCTGTTTATCGCTCTTTCTTTTTTCGAGAACACATTAGTTTAAGACAAATAAGTGCGGTATGAAACAAGTATTTGGCTTTATCAATCGACTTCAATTCCTTACCCTAATTACATGTATTATATATGGTAAAATCTTTCTACCGTTGCGCAACTCGAATCAACAGGTATTTACTTAAATGGCTTAATTAATGGCTTGTTTTATATAAAAAAACTGGTAAATTAGTTAAATGAAAACAACTGCTTAAATAAAATGTATCGCCTTTATTTCCATACAATTGAAATGGTAAGATAAGACAGTTATTAGAAAAAATGTTGAATCAATAAAGCATGTGTGTGTTTGCTTGAAGCCGGTTTTTGAAAGTTTGAAAGCGTAATAAATAATATGACACATGCATAATGGAAGGAGGCACTGCCCATTCTAACAAGCAACAAATAAATAAACAAATAGAAATAGAAATCACAGACTGTTTTATAGAGCCATCACTAGAGCTTTCATATAAGCAGCGGCGGTAAGCGCAGCGTATGGTTGCCAATCTTTCGTCGTACCATCTATATAATCACTTATACCTCGGATAACTAGAAAACTTTCATTCCTGTTGCCTTCGAGAGATTCCAGGACAGCTTCAAAGTCTAAATCGTAGGCCCTTATATTATTTTCTATGGCAAAATCTGTTCGGGCTGCTGGTGTTCTCGATAACAATCTACCACTTCCAATGGCTCCGTAGCAAATGTTTGGAATGCCACCCTTAATGTCTTGTTTCATCGAGGGAAGTGGGTGCTCGAAACTTACTCCCGAGTCATCATTTCCTCGTATAATACGCAATTTTTTATCGGAACACGGTCGACTGAAGCTTGTCTCCTGTTTTCCTAGGTTAATTAGGCCTTCCTCAATATAGATGTCCCAAGGCCGAGGTTTTCTCCATTCCGTTTTAACGATCGACTCTAAACTCATGGAGACATTTTGAAGGGTTTTGTTATGACAGGAAAATGACCTGGTCGTGTAGATAAACCCTTTTCTGTTTGGATCATGGTTGATCCTGGCACAATGGAGATACATTGGGTCCCTTCTTTCGGTTGTCATGGAGACAACAACATCCCCTGGCCTAACATGATGACCGTAATTATTTGGCATGGGTACACCGCCGGCAACGCCAACAAGTAACACGTGCTCTACTTTGTTGAATGAACCTGGAATAAAATTTATGTCAATGTTTAGTTGAACCAAACATTTTGGCGGAATTACTCTTTGGGGATGGTAAATTTTAATTTTTGAATATCGCTTTTTCGAATATTTGTAAACAATTTTCCTTGTTGTTTAATTAATAGAAATAGAAAATAAACACATGTTGGAAATACAGTAATCAACATATAGAATTATTGTCAGATTAATACTAACGGATTGTCTATTTGAACGGATTATCCTCTAAATGGGGGAGGGCCGACCGCTTATGTTATAAGAACTTTGGCCCAGTCCTCTTGCTATTTATCATTATTATGTATTTACATAATTTGCTTTGCCTTTGACCTCTACTATGGCACTATGTAATTTAAACATAAAACATATATCACAAACGACACTATTGAAAACCATACAGGTTTTACCGTAGAACTTTCATTTTTTATGTAGCATACCTAAGATCCGGGTAATTGTGTTTTCAGCCGATATCCTCGCACTCTGGTTGGATGTAGGATGTCGAGACAGTTTTGTGCTCACCACTTTAAATCTACCAATGGTGCCCATAGTGTACACCTGCGACTCGCCTGTTCATGATAAAATATAGATTCAAATGTTGTAGTGTTCATAGTGGCACAAGGATCGTAGTTTTAATGTACATTGTGACAGAGATCTTAGTAGCAATGTAAATACTGGGGACCGTAGTTTTAATGTACATAATGACAAAGATATTAATATCAGTGTACATAATGATGATCGTTATTTAAATATACATAGTGACAAAGATAAAAGTATCAATGTATAAAGTGAGGATGGTAGTTTTTATGTACATAGTGACAAAAAAATCTTAATATCAATGTACAAAGTGAGGATCGTAATTTAAATGTACATTGGGACAAAGATCTTAGTATCAGTGTACATAGTGAGGATCGTAATTTAAATGTACATTGGGACAAAGATCTTAGTATCAGTGTACATAGTGAGGACTGTAGTTTTAATGTACATAGTAACATTAGTATCAATGTACAAAGTGAGGATCGTAATTTAAATGTACATTGGGACAAAGATCTTAGTATCAGTGTACATAGTGAGGACTGTAGTTTTAATGTACATAGTAACATTAGTATCAATATAAATGTACAAAGTGATGATTTTTAGTTTTAACGTACATAGTGACAAATATCTTAAGTATCAATGTACAAAGTGAAGTAGTCTTTATGAACAGAGTAAAGATGGTACATGTAGTTTAAATATACACAGTGACATTTAAGTGTTTAAAATGACAAGGATCATAAATGTACATATTGACATATATCGTAGTTTTAATCTACATTATATAGGGATCATATGTAGCCCTTATATATAGAGGATATTTATTTGTTTTTGTGTAAGATGAATTTTTATTTCGTCGAGTGAGCTTTAAAAGTAGTATTCTGTTTTTGAAGATCATACACAAAATTAAACAAATATCCTCTATTTATTGATGATACTTAAAACACTTATGGCGAAAATAGCGCTGCATGTGAAATAATGTGTGGTTAAAGTAGCAGAATGTAAAAAAAGTGGAATTTGCCTTCCATACAAGATACCGAATCACTAAAACTGTACTAATTGGTCATAACGCAAAAGAATCGGAAGATAGCCAATATGTAGCTTTTTGGAAACTGTAACAGGACAGCAAAAATAAAGAAAACCAGCTTTAAAACATTTACATTTTTGAAGCTTAATGGCCCTTTTAACACTTGCCAGTTGAAAATTCATACAAGTTTAAGTTCAGAGTAGCTAACAAAGCGGTTAAGACAGCAGTTAGCTGGCATTGAAAATTTCTGTTAGAAAATTTCTGTTAAAATTGTTATCTTTGCGAACAAAAGACTTTGCTTATGTTCCAAAACAAGTATGTGTTTGGTGAAAACAGTTTTACCAGTGGTTAATGTAAAAAAAGCAGTGACAAAAATTGTACAAAAGACCCATGTGGGTCTTCATCGCTCATCTAAGTAAGTAGAAAAGTTTTTGAGAATCATGTATATGATTTTTTTTATTAAATACACTATGATCAATGATGAAAACTAAAACCTATATTTAACTATATTTTTAAAATATTTTTATAATTCACATGACCTGCTCTTGCATTGGACTTGAGCCATTGAAATATTTAAATCATTTTTGTTAAAGGCCACGTGAGGATAATTTTTGTTGAGTTTTGTAAAAATGTACCGAATGGAAGATGTGGTGTTATATAAAAACATTGTTGATAATAAAATTTAATGACGACGCAGGACCACGGACAACAGGGCGATATCACCAATGCTCGCTTGTAAGCATTTTATTCTCATGTGAGGTCAAACTAGGCAAATGATAATTAAATATTTCAACGTATAAATTACACACATTTTCAAACACACCTCTGGCCCAATATGAGGCAAATTAACTACGGTGATTTTATTGTGATTATAATGTTTTTCTAATTATATGAAATATGTAGAAATGAAGAAAATAAAAGCACACAAATTGAAAATACATGTGTTTGAAATAAATTTTAATGATAATAACTATGAAAGTTAGATTTTTCCGTAATTAAAGAAAAATTTGAGGACATATATCATGAGTTGTATAATGAAAATATTTGGAAAATAGCATGAAATGGAATTTTGGCATAATAGCACAAGTTTTCCTGTTTATTATATTGTTGGGTACTTCTATATTTTGTTCTATATTTACATGAATGTTACAACACATCATCTAGAATGGCATTGCTCGCCCTATGACGTCATCAACGTTATAACAACATAGTGATTAAAATAGAATTTTTACAATATATAAACTTGTTTCTTTAAACTAACTGATGTTTTTCCTTCAGTCGACTATTATCAACAATGACAGGAGGACAGTTGACAAAACACGTATGTTCAGAAATGTAAAATTTGCAGACGACATTTAAAATAAGGGGAACGTGGGTTAACAATAATGTAACTGACACCGTACCAAACTTTTGGGAATTTGAGGAAACACAAAGACACACTCTACAGATATAAGCAGTGGTTGAATCCTATATCTAACTACCAATCGTGCAGAAAAAACTCAAAATTGAAGCACCTCATTGAACATATATCGTATGTCCATTTCTCAAACAAGCAAAACTGAATATGTAAGTTCAATTGAGTGCTTCTTTAAGAGAAAAGCTTACCTACAAAACTACGCCGAACTGAAGACATAAAGTAAAACATATTGTTTAATTTGAGGCCAGATAAATAAATTATACCAAAACATTGAAAAAACGAAAATATAGAATATTCTCTAACAGTTTTCCTTTGTCATAGAATGGTTAAAATAAATGGCATAGTTATATGCGTGAACATATATTCTGATGAACCTTCATTTGCATATATCGCATTCCCCACCTTGGTGTCCATTTCACCAAGGTGAAGTGAATTTTGGCAATTTTCTTGCTGAAGGAAATTAGCAGGGAGTTCGAAAGAACTTCGATCCGGGACCTGTCGAACTACAACTGCGTGCATCACCACTAAAACACTGCCCCGTAAAGACACGGTAAAATTTTTCCATTTTAAATCAGAGCACTTCATGTCCTTTTTTGTTTTACTAAATACAAAAATCAAATTTATCGGCTACAAATACTATCTTGGTTATATAGTTGAGAAAGATGGACATAAAAAGCAAAAGGAAACATTATCTCACCTTCAGTTTTATATTTTACGAACGTTATTTTGTCATCTATCATAGCGTCAACGGCAAGTTTCTCACAGTACAATGACGTCACTATGGCAATTGTAGGTTGTTCTCGACCGGTCAGCTGTGGAAGGTCCTTTACAAGTTTTAAATCTGAAAAAAAAAGAGTGAAACATGAATTATAATCGTTATTCTTTTGCGGCACAGAAGGTACAAAACATTTTTATCTGAGAATATGCCATAACATCCATTCGTTTAAACTGTTTGGGCATAAAACCTAGGTGGGGTTTAGTGAGCGTGTCAATGTATGTTATATTTAGAGTAAGAACCATGTCTGTATTTTGACATACCGTGACCTGTTCCATGATGAATCTCGTGTTGTATTCTCAACCATTTCCCTACCTCCACCTCTCTAACATGTTGAGTCTTCTCCAACTCCTTCATTAACATAACCAAACTTCCAGAGTCCAAATTTCTACCTGCTGTTTGCCTGCAAACCATAACAAAATACAATTTTCACAAATCTCTAACTAAGTGTGTGCTTTTGCCTATTCGAATTTATATATGACCGGGATAACCAGGTGAGAAAAAAATCATACAATTAAATCATGGCTAAATTTAGAACAAAATACAATTAAATGAACATTTTATTTATTACTGGTGATGAAATCAAATGAATTTAATGCCTTAAGATTTTAACGTTTAAAAAAACGGGTCATATAACTAAATTTATGTTCGTTTCTTTTAAACTGAATATTTTAGATTAAAATGAGTGAGAAACATCTTTGTGAAATTATCATGTTACATTACATATACATTCATACACATAAGGGCATATATATAGTGTCTTCTTACACCAGTGAAAACATGAAAAGTCGTCATATGACCTTAATTATATAACCGGTGCTAGGGGGCGTGAGAGATCTGTAATGGAAATGAGTCTGCAATTTTCTTTTTGAAACTTTTTTCATTGCTCTCGGATGAGTTCCCCTTTTCCAGATTTTTTAACCGTACAGTATTGGTCAGTATTATATTAAAACCCGTTCAACATAAGAAAAAAAACATGTAATTCGTGTTGAAATGTTAAACAAAAAAAATTTAACGTTGAAATGTGATGTAAAATATGTTAAAATATAATGGTTCATGTTGAAATGTGGTATAAAATCAGGTAAACGTACGCTAAAATATCTTGCACTGACTGTGTATTCGGATAAGCATCTTCAAGACAACGTAATATTCTTTGCTTTTTTGCCAACCACAATAGCTGTCTCTGAATACGGGACTTCTTTGCCTTTTTGGTGAAGTCAGTTTCTACCTCTAAGAAAATATTACTTGCTTTATAGTATATATGATCATTCTCGGGGCGTGATCTATGCCATTTTAGACAATATATAGCCAACCTGCTTATATCAAAATTATATCGGTGAAAAGAACTTTAAGAATAAAATGTATCATAAGCCACGTGTCTCTGGAATTTTTTCTTGTATTCTCAATGAAATCTTTAGTTATGGAACAGTTTTGCGTTATTTTTATTGTGGGTTAATCTTCGTAAAATTCTGAAGTTATTTAACTTTCTTTTGCAAATATGCACATAAAAATGTATTGAAAAAAAAAGAAGCAAAATTGCATCAATATAAAAATGAACACCATATTGGTGAAAGAAAAACGAACGAACCCATAAGTTCTGCAAATTCAAATTGCCCATGTGACGTATTGTCAGTGGCAACAGCCAAGGAAGTTATATCAAATCGTTTATTATCCGGAAGATTCCATTTAAGGAATTTCCCTTCCCCGTAATGGGATCCCCTACCAACCTCGATCTTGAAATCACCCCAACTTATCCAGAAGTAACGCAGCTCCTAAAACAGAAAGAATACTATTTTCAGGTCAGACAAAACAGCTGTGTACATGTATTTGTCAAGTAATATAAGTACAGGTGCTTGACTGTACTGCAAAATATACATGTGAAAGTATGATCATGAACGAGCAACCCCCAAAAAGATCTAACTGAATACGCATATCTCTTCCAGTGGACAAAGAAGAAGTTGAGAAGAGATTGGAAATATTAAAGATACCAATTTTGCTGGTGTAAAAAAATTAAAACGTGCAGTCAATGCATATTAATCACGTTGCATTGGCATTTCTTGCACATGCAGAAAAAGGAGATATCATTGCGTTGAAACAAGGATTGATTAATATGACTATAAAAGTGATTACAATCGATTTCAAAAACACTTTTGACATACAAACAGAACCAGTCTTACAATATTGTCAACAAATACGTCATCTAGGTCATTCCCCTACATTATGTTAGATTAAACATGGTCCTTCACGTGAGAACTGTCTAGAATATGTATTTATAGATAATTTAGTTGGTATCCTCAAAAAAATTACTACATATTCTTACAACATTAAGCTGCCGAAGAATAATTGAACACATGTTTTTATGTCTTCAGCCATCATTCTTATTCTGAATGCGTGAGTAGTTTCAACATACATTTATACCTTATTTAACTTAAACAAAACAAAACTTACAGAACCACTAAGAACGTTAGCAGTTAAGGCATCAGCCCTTACACTTCCCTCTACACCATCTTTTATCATTGATCTAGTATTATGATCTGCACCTATCACAATTTCAATTGTCTTCTTATGAAGCTCCCCGTAATTTGCTGACAATGCTATATGGGCGTCACACTTCGCTTTGATCATGAATGTTAGATAAGTTTTTGTGTTCATGGAAATCTCGGGTACAAAGTTGTACTGGTAGATGTCTGGAGTAAACAAGCTTACAAAACTTTCTGAAAATATAGTAGGATTCTAGAAGTTGATTCTTATATAACTACAGGCTATTGATCTGAAGTTTTATATACCCAATGACCTTTGCAAGCACTTATTTATTATAATAATTTGAAAGGTATGTGCCTCAACAATTCAGATCCATCAATATTAGTTTCGTACAAAAACATGGTCTTTTCTCTCTGACTTACATGTTTACTCAGTGTTTAGTAAATCTTTGTATCGAATTCATCAATTCTTTAATAGGTCAGAATAATTTTAGCTCAAATACACACGGGGCTTTAGAGTAATGGTGTATATTTGGAAATGATAAGAATATTGTTCTTTTATTAGTCTAATTCAAATGTCTTTATTCACCTAGGTATCAATAAAAATAGATAAGGGGCAAATAGTAAAAGCTTTTTTTCATTTCGATTTGAACATTGCATGACACACCAAGTTAATTAGTTTTCAAATCTTGCAAAACAATCATGACTTCAACTGATCGTTATTTAAAACCATCGCGTTTCTAATCTATGAATTCTTAAACCTGCTACATTTATATTGATATGGTATGGGGGTCAAGATTACATGAAAGGTACTTACTGACGGGCGGGGTAGCCTCTGGGGATTGAAGTTTTGATACCTGTTCAACCTCTAGCTCGACCCTTTTTATCAGCAGATATGTCTTCATCAGAACCATAGCTTTCTTCATAAAACACATGTAATCTTGAATAATAATAATAATAATAATAATGCATACATACATACAGCTATTAATGACATAATTTTAATTAGAAATTGATTGATTTGATATACACTTCTTTTAAACAATGGATATCATTATACAATTTTCATTTTCTAATAACTTAACAGATATACATAATAAACATTATAACATAATAACATACATGTAGTTATGGAGAATTTGATACATTGCATATTGGATTAATGTCTAAAATTAAAGATTATTTGCAAAAATTGTATTTGAAAAAGAATATGAATGTGTCTTTTTATAAGATTCCCTGAAAAAATAACATACTTTTCGGAAAGTTTTCTGGATTCATCAGTTCTTGAAAATACTGGGAGAAAGTTCTTTTCTTGGTTATACCATCTGGTTTGCCCCTAAACCAGAAGCGAAGGTTCCAGGAGTCCTGAACTGGTTCGTTGTTATGGTCCTTGTTGACCAGGTACGCTAGAAACTCGAGCCTTGCTTCCGCGGGGTCACCATTTTCCAGATCTGTAAAATACGAGTATATGCATTCAATCATTTTTAAACCATTCCTATAAGAATAAATCAACGCATGTACCTTCAAGTCTCAAGAAAGTTGGTATAAAACATTGCAGACCCCACATCACTAATAAAGGCTGATTCTGATAGACTCTGATTACATCTACTATACAGTTGAATATCAATCATGGGAAGAGACTTTACAAAGTAACTGTATACCATATATCTGAAATGTCAGTTTATGATAACTGCACAATGAACAAGAGCTGTCGGTAGGACAGCACACTCGACTATTCTAAGTGCTTGATAGTAAAAGAGCCTTAATAATGTTAAATATTCTAAGTTCACAAAAGGGCTAATTTTTTTTTATAAAATATAAAATTGTCCCAAAAAAGGCACAAACCCTTCAGTAGTTATGGAGATAACAGCTTACAAGCAAAACTTTACCATGAATTTTTTAAGTTGAAAAAGGGAAGAAAAATCAGCCTAAATGCAAGATAGAATTATGGATCTTTGTCAGTGACCTACAATTCTGACCCTAAATGCATATGTGAAGTTTTAAATAAATATCTTTTATAGTTATTGAGATATGTAAAACTTGCATTTAAACATTAACCAAGAGACTAAGTAGAAAAGGGGATATGAATCAGCCTTAATGCAAGATAGAGTTATGGAACTTGGTCAGTGACATACAATTATGACCCTCAAATTATGACCCTAAGTACATGTGTAAAGTTTCAAGTAAATATCTTTGAAGACCTTTAACCTTTAACCAAAATCTCTAAGTTTCAAAGGGGCAAATAATTCTGCAAATATTGCAGACAGAGATATGCAATTTTGCAAACTGATGTACATTGTTACTATAAAAAAGTATTGTAAATTTCAATTGAATATCTCAATCAATAATTGAGATATTTGACTTTACAAAAAAACTTTAACCAAGATTTCTAAGTTATAAAGGGGCATAATTCTGTAAATATTGTAGGCAGAGTTATCCAATTTGTCAATCTGATGTACATTATTACTATAAATAAGTATTGTAAGATTCAATTGAATATCTCAAGCATTAATTGAGATATTTGACTTACAAAAAAACTTTAACCAAAATTTCTAAGTTAAAAAGGGGCATAATTCTGTCAATATTGTAGGCAGAGTTATCCAACTTGTCAAACTGATGTACATAGTTTCTATAAATAAGTATTGTAAGTTTCAATTGAATATCTCAAGCAATAATTGAGATATTTGAATTTACAAAAAACTTTAACCAAAATTTCTAAGTTAAAAAGGGGCATAATTCTGTCAATATTGTAGGTAGAGTTATCCAACTTGTCAATCTGATGTACCTTGTTACTATAAATAAGTATTGTAAGTTTCAATTGAATATCTCAAGCAATAATTGAGATATTTGACTTTACAAAAAACTTTAACCAACGCAGACGCCGACGCGGACGCTGAGGCCGACGCCGACGCCGGGGCGACTACAATAGCTCTCATATTCTTCGAATAGTCGAGCTAAAAACACCTAAAAAGACGAACAAAAGTTTGAGAGAACAAGACGAAAACTTTATATAGTCTACCCTGACATTCTTTTCCGAGAATTATAAAAAGTATAAATTTATTAATATATTTCAACATACTTTGTGACTTCTTGTTGATAAGAAACCCTTTATACGGACCCCCGGACACATGGTGAACTTTGCCCCTATCAACTTCTGTCACGTGACGCCTGTCCAATCTGACCACAGCTTTGCTGTCACGTTTTCCCGCCGTCAAAACTATCTCTGTCAACATCACAACATTTACTTAATTTCAATACATAGTTGTACTTCTTCTACACACAATACTGAAACAAACTTCTTAATTACAAATGTACTAATCCGCCAAAAGTATTTAAACATTTGCCTCAGTTTCAAGTTCATGAATGTAGTGTGAAACCTTCCATTGATGGAACGGTCCAGTATTGTCAATTTGGATACCAATGGGATGAAGAAATGATGTAAATGTTGAGCCTGCTCAAAGTGCACGGATGTGCAGGCTGGTCTTGCTCTATATTAGTGGCAAAGGTTAATAACGAAGCATTGTTTCTGCGGAAATAAAAAAAAGTTAGGTAACAAAAGGGTCAGTAAAACGGTGGCTATACCCTAATGTCTTTTCCAAGTGGCTACACGTATTAAGTACAGACAACGTATTGCTGGGTTGCTTGTGCACAGCATCAAAACACTCATATACATGTACAATGCATTAAAGATAAGCACAAAATAAATAAATAAACAGAAAAATGATAAAAGAAAAAGAATATACAAAAATTGTTGACGTTACCTTCGGATTCATTCACGTTCACAGTCATTTGTTCCAGCTTGGATGTCTATATTTACACCGGTATCGTCTGCCTTATCTATAACAATATTAAATAAACAAAAACATCAACAACCTGTACTTTTTATCATTAGTAAAATCATCCTGAGGGAGACGTTTTTGTGAAAACTACAAAAATATCCTTTGCTTTAGACAATGAGTCATAATCAACGTAATTTCTACGCCGGTGCTCATAATAGATTATCTTTCTTGTCAAAAAATGTGTTTTATATTTCCCTATAGGCCTCGCTTTGTCATGTCCGGCAGCTGGTCATCATTCAAGCAAATAGATATAGGGCAGTGAAAGCAATTTTAAGTTATACTTTATTAGCTGGATAAGAGATAAACTGATGAAATGTGGCTGCACTATCAGGTCTTGTAATGATATTACAGCATTATTTCATTCATTAAAGGCCCATTATGCCTCAGAAATGCTATCATATGTAACTTTTGCATCTTTAGCTATGTTGGCCATTGGTATAAGTACTTTGAATGGAAGTCAAAATACTACTTTGTTTACATTTTGCTACCTTGACAACACATAACTGCATGTTCAGCACTTCATTATTCAGTTGTAAAAAATCTAACAAGCACCTTATCGATTTTAAAGACATATTTCACATATCTAAAGAATTGAAGAAAAAATGGATTTCTTAGGCATATACTGTGCCTTTAAATGCATTGACAGGTCAGGGTATAAAGAGAAATGCATCAAAAGTACTAGATAAAATGATAATCAATGTTGAGGCTAGGATAATTTGTAATTGTCATATTTGATGAAATTATCAACCAAAATTAATGTCTTTGAAACTTAAAATGTAATGAGGTTAATCAAGGCTGAACATTGATATTATTGTAAAAAACGAGGTCGGATTATACTACAGTATAAAGTCATAAAGCATACACAGGCACCTGCTCTCAATCAACAGATACTTAATAGCTTTCAGATAGACAATTAATATGCAATAATTAATTATGTTTGCTTTAATAAAAAAATCCACTAATTTTATGTGAATAATTATGTAACAGTGACGTAGAATAAAGTTGTAAAAAGAAACAGGCATATTGATTTTACATGGAACTTAGCTAATCAATAAGAAATATAGAATATTGAATTCTAAATACATTTGTATCAGTGTAATCGATCCGATACATAAATCAAGTTGAAATTTAATAAATAAAATGGTCACATACCTGAAAATGTTTAGCAAAATTTTTTTTCCCTCATTTATCCATTTATACACATTGATAAGCAAGTTCACCGGTTTCCAGCCTATGCACGCGGAGTTTTACAGTATTGATCAGTGAGTTGTTTTCTGCGATCGATTGCTAGTCCCCTGCATGACGTACAACTTACAGTTTATTGTATAACAAGTACATTGCCAATAGGGACGCCAAAATACAACTTCTTCTGTTAATTAGTTGTTATAAATTGTAGTCTGCAGACATTTTATGGATGTTGCCTTGTTCTTTAGCACGTTGTGTAATCCTTTTTTCATTTTCTAGGTTTAACAAAACTGTAATACAGTATTTGTACAACCATGTGAGAGTGGTTTTAACGATGACATGGAAATAAACTTTATCTGATTGATATTTGGTGTCAGTGTTTTACAAAGAACAAAAATGTGAAGAAAAATGAAATGTTCGTGAAGACTTGAAACAAAACTGAAACAAAACTAAAATAAAAGGTCAAGTTATATTTTAAAACAACCATTTCATATCGGGCCAAATAACTTGTCGAAAATCTTATAACTAATAACATATGAGCCGCACCATGACAAAACCAACATAATAGGTTTGCGACCAGCATGGATCCAGACCAGCCTGCGCATCCGCGCAGTCTGATCAGGATCCATGCTGTTCGCTATCAGTTTCTCTACTTGTATAGAGTTGTAAGCGAACAGCATGGATCCTGATCAGACTGTGCGGATGCGCAGGCTGGTCTGGATCCATGCTGGTTGCAAACGCACCATGTTGGTTTTGTCGTGACGCGGCTCATATGTGTTTCCTTATTTACTTTATGGGGTTGGAAATGATACCGGTTATGTACTTTGTTAAAAATGTCTATTCTTCCTTAAAAAATGCAATATGAGGTGTCTTTGCCTTGTACAAGAGGCAGATAACCTTTTGAATTAAGACTACCTCTTTTTCTTACTTTATTCCATGGCGTAGACGGTCTTATTCATGGCATTAGTTTCGTTTTGACTGAGTTAAAATATATGTGTAAGTTTACAAATTGAAAATGCTTTCAGAATATATATTATTCTTCCAACGTCAAGTAGGTTTGTGTATAAATATGAAGTCAACCTGAAGCTATTTTAAGAAATTTTCCTGTAAAAGTTGACTTTTTGTTTTGGCTATATAAGTAAATTCATCATTAATGATATGTGGTTTGTTAATCCTGACTTTTAAAACGGGGCCAGGGCTGTATTTTTTTTTCAAAATTATTTTGTATAGTTTTTAAATATAGACAAACTGAATCCCTAAAGAATGCCCAAATGGGCGAAATTGAAAATGTTGCAGGCTCGGTTTGATTGGGCGGAGTAGTACAAGAATCCTACTGTCCACGCACCCAGTATTTGCAGAATTCCGACATTTAAACATAAGATGGTGAAAATTTGAAATTCATTATACTTATCGACAAGTAAATTAAATAATATCGGTTTAAGTTGTAAGGTCGATGAAATATGTTGAACCTTATCTTGTTTTCGTAATGTATAATATTTTATACAAATGTCCCAATCTCTAACAATGCTGCATTCGATATCATACAGCCATTAACACGTGTATGGAGCTAGGCAGTCTTTTGCCAAGTTTTAGTATTTTTCAGAATTGATAATAAACAGTTCCAAATATTGAAACTAGGTATGCCCATTTCAGAACTTCGACGGGATCAAGGTTAGCACAACAATTATACCATTAACTAGTATTATTTGTTTGTTTGTTTCATTTTACGCCTTTTCCCAACAGTATTTCAGTCATATAGGCGGGTAGTTTCCTTACCATCGTTCCTGGAGAGTTACACCAGTACTAGACTACCTTCCTCCGTGCTAAACTACCAAAGCATTTCCCGGGGATCGAACCCACGCCAGAGAGGTAACTGGATTAGAAGTCATCGACTCTAACCCCTCGACCACGAAGGCGGTCCTAACTAGTATTACGTCGGTGTTGATCAAAGCAACTGGGGACATACAGTTTTTGCTTGAATATCAATTACTCCATACAAAATGAAACGAGGTGATGTGGTGTTGCAATGGCCACGGGTTTTATTGAAATTGAAGCCTTGCTATGGCGCACTTTTCCTAAATTTGACTATGTATATATTGGTGTGACACGGACTGTTTTGTTTTGTTACTATCGCTTTTCAATTACATGCAAATGAGAAAAAAAAATATTACTGAAGTTTTATTACTTTCCACCATAGAAAAATGCGAAATTACAGGTACATTTTTCCACAAAGTAATATCATTTTTATAAAAGGGACGTACGGGGCTGTCAGAGGTATATTTCAATGGTTTATTTCAAGGATTTATAAGACTCTCTCATTTCCTCAGACTTTGTTGAGAAGCACAGGACATCGGCAGAATATGTAAAGCTTGGTCGAACTTTGTTACACTGAGGACACTGACTGACTCTCTGACTGACTGACTGACTTACTGGTTAAGATCCGAGCTTTGTTTAGTACATGGAGAGCAAATCCTACAGGTCAAACTATCAGTTCTAATAGAGTTGGAGATACGCTTATCCCGTATTCTACTGTCCAGCTGCCGATGTTCTGACTGAAGCCGAGGGACGTGGCCATACAGAGTAGACAGGGACGACGAGGAAGGGACACTAGGGTGTGTGAGTCATTCTTGAAAGTTAAATGGTCCCTGGCTTTACTGGTGGAGCGGGCAGCTGAAAAGAACCACCAAAGTTCCGCAAGCTAGCTTATATCTTCCACACCTGATGGAATCCTGATGGAATTAGTGTTTAGACCAAGGAAAAAAAGACGCAGATATGTCCGGTTTTACAACGTTTATTAACATTCATTTATTGACAGTAATTTTCAAAAATAAAATTTATATAGCTTTTTTATGTATTTTATGTATAAAAATGTTAATTTCTTTCTGATATTAAATTTGTAATGTTTTATGAATATTATAATTATACTTATCTATTGTTTATGCAAAATATGTAAATGTATATATCAATTTAGTATTTCAATTAAAAATCATAATAATAAATCATCATCATACAAATATACCTGTTTCAGCAAACTTGACAAAATCTGTGTATTTTACATGTATCCGTTTACTAAAATATCAGGACAGTTTTTCGAGTTACTTCCCTTGTACAATAAAATGATGATATTATATGAATACATAACACTTAGATGTTACTCAGCCTCTAGGCACTGTACTTTCACCCTTTTTACGGTGGCGCAACAAATTGTCAATATAGAATAGTGAACTTCCCATACAGTTTCAGAAATTAAAACATAACAAACAAAAACAACAACAAGAAAACCAACTTTGTAATCTGTAAACATCAATCTCTAAAATGAGTTTCTCTAAGCCTGCCAGCGGCAAAAATTCTACGCATGCGCTTAATGCAGACCAATGTTTACCGGCACATCCTAGTGTGATCATGGTCTGCGCTGTTCGTTATTTAGTAAGTACATGTATATACAAAAAATGTATTTTAAAATTTTCCCTAAATAGATAAATGGCTTTAGTCTGATTTTAAGACGGACTAGTCCATTTAAGATATCTAACGTGGTCAGGGTTAAAATTATTTGACTTTGAATTTAAAGGCCATGATTGACTATTAAGGTTATGTAAATTGAAGTCTTATCTTACTTTACGATCTAAAATATCTAACACATTACTCTATACTGTTGATTACGAATGGTATTTACTTTATATTATAAATCATGCGACGGAATCTAGGCTGTAAAATGTTTGTTAAAATTATTCATATCAGTTTTGTCTGGTCACCAGATCCTTCATTATCGGAACTATCATCTGCTGTATCATTACTTGCTTTTGCAGTTTTATGCACTTTAGTTTTCTTTTTATCTAACAACTTTTCACCATCACTATTTTCTATCACAAAATCTTTATCATGGTGTATAGTATCTTTAACATTCAACTCGTTTTGTTTAACTTCGTCACGCTCTTCAGTTCCAGTGTTCAGTATTTTATCATCTATATCTTTCTTACCAAACTTGATTTCATTCACAACCTCTTCCAATAAGTTTCCTATTTCCGTTTCTTTTTCAGTGTTTGATACTTCAACTTTATAACCGTTCTCATCTTTATTTACTCCAATCTCTGTTGATTCAAACGACGGTAAATTTACATATTCATGCGGTTTGCAAATTTCCACTTGTTCTTCGGAATGCATTTCTTCCTGTACACCACTTGGGGCTATATTTATGTAATGTCTTTCTAAATGTGGACTATTCTTTTCACCAGAGTCCCCATGTATACCTAACACACTGTCATTTACATAAACTTGTGACTCAGAATTATCCGGTTTGTCACAGTCAACATATTCTGAACAATCCTCCGCAGCAAGTGATTTTAAATTAGTAAACTCAGGTACACCCACGTGAACCGGTTCTTCGTAACCCATTTCTGTTGCTTCGAGTTTAAACGTTTTTGAATCATCTACTAGAGAGTCATTGTCTGGAATGTTATGATCTGCATTTACACTGCCTGTCAAAGATACACTTTCAACTTCAATATAAGTTACTTCGTCTTTTATGTTGTCATTTGCTTTTTCGGATTTACATGGATCCTTTCTATAATCATTTATCTTAGTTCGCGGAGGCGGTATTAAAGTTACTGTTTCACTTTTGATTTCGGTCATTTCAACACTTTGTGGGTCCATACCACCATGAGCACCGCCCTCTGGGTTTGGAATTATTTCCGAACTCCGCCTATTTTGGCTATGATAACCTTCATCTTTTATATTTGTTTCTTCGTCGTCACTTCCTTCACCGCTGTAGCATTTCGGTAATATACACCGGAAACAGATCATTCTACATACGGGTATTTTCATGCAACACGCAAAAATTTGGCGGCAACATTCTCGACCTTTCGTCTGCGGATTTGGCGGTGTTGTTAGACTGGAATATCGGCCCTGCTGAGACGCTCGAACCTGAAACAAATTTGAAAATTTGTTACAAAGAATTTATTTTCAATAAATAATGAATGACAAGATCGGTAATTAGATAAGTCCGCCTCTCCCCTATCCCCCACTCCATTATGGGATAATATACATTACATACCCCTAAGCCATATCACTTTTTCTATATTCTCTCTGTAGCCTTCCTTATTTAACATTAACAGTCTTTTCATGGTATTTAACAGAGCATAATTCAGAACACGCAACTTTAAATTTCCTATAGAATCTTAAATATACTATGGTTAAGAAAGGAATGAACGAGTATGCACACTTTGTACTTAGTCATGAGCTTGGTGATGAATTTCATTATATTCATAACTGTTACTCCAATACTGAGAGAAACAACTTTATTTCTTTCTCTTACAGGAGAAACCCTAACATTTGAACAGCTGATGTCCTCTTCAGATATACTTGATCTTGTTTAATTAGCAAGCTCTGTAATATATATTACTGCAGCCATTTAAGTAAATCCAATATCCCTCACATGACCTTTTGAATAACTAAATTTTCAGTTAAGAAGATATTTTATAATATTCAATGTATTAATCTTCAAATTATATATAATTTCTTGGTAACATCAGTGTGTTACTATAGACAAAGAAATAGTCCCACTGAACATAACAAAGCACCAGTGCAATGGTAGACAAGAAATTGTTCCCAAATCAGGGACTTTATTGATCAAAAAATATACATGAACGTAATTTAAGTCAAGTCTAAAAAGTGAAAACATTTGTGTCAAGAACTGTCACTTATTCTGCGCTTTCACACTATTCAAACCGACATACATATACTTAATCCTTCGCAAGCGCGAGAAAGTACTACCTACAGTTGGTTTTGCATAGCAACAGGTCGCTTCATAAAAAGATCTATATATGGAGTAAATCTCACCGGCAGATGTACAATGTCGTTGTCCTTGGACTTTTTCTTCGTTCTTTTTTTCCTGATACGGACTATAGGAGCTTTCGGTTCTTCAAAAGACATCTTTGATCAGGTTGTTATTTAACTCGTTAAAAGTCTGCTGTTGACAAATACGTCTCTATGAATCTATGATCCAATCTGAAAGTAGAAAATGATAACCGCATACATTAAGGATTGTGTTGGTTTAAATAAAGCTGAGTGATAACGAAGACGTAATATCATATACAATTATGTCATTTGTAGCTTATTTTGTGCATAATTTCGCAGCTTTAAAAGATGGATACAAAGTTATATATATATTTATCGTCAAAGAAAAATGATTTTTCAAAGGCAAATTGCGGTACGATTGTTTTCCAACCATTTGAGTGATTGTGTTGATAACGCAATAAGATAATTTACGTGAAGCTTTCATGTCGTGTGAATGGTGACATTTATTATACGTATAAAACGTTCCTTCTGAAACAAAATTTATGACCTCATCAGTGCGAGAATAGATTTGTTATGTGATGAGGCTACCAACTGTTTACATATACTCTGTATCATTTCAAGGACCATATTTTAATAATTGTAACAGCGAAGATGGTAACTCTTGGCTTCCGTAGATTCCGTATTTGGCTATATAATTTTATTCATGGCATGATTATTACATGATGTCACGTGATCTTGGTCAAGGACGAAGTTTGGGCACAGCTATGTTTATTTAAACTGACAGACTTCACTTGGTATGGTCTTGATGAAAATGCTTGCAAAAATGGCAGAGACTTTGGATATGCAAAGTTTTTCTCGATTTTTTTTTAAATGATATAGTTAATGTAGAGAAATTCAATATCCCAAAATCATCAGTATATAGGTTTAATAAGAACTAATTAACGCACCCAAGTCTTACATTCTAAGATGTGACATAAATATGCTTCAACGGACCCCAACAGGCACGATATCTGGAAACTTTCAACAATGTCATTGCATATAAAGTACGTAAAAGACACTAAAGTATTATATAACTACACATATATATATATATTAAAAAGAGGCTGAGATGTATACCGGACCGTTTTTTTTTTTCGTTTGTTTGTTTGTTTTTTTTGGTTGGGATAATTCACATCGCTATCATTAGGGTCATATAGCGACTTTCCTGCTTTAGTGGTGGAGGAAGACTTCTGTCCCCCTCCGTGCATTATTTCAGGCACGAGCGGGCACCTAATTAGAACCACAGATCTTTGGAAAGCCAGCTGGATAGCTTGCTCAAATTCCCTCACGGGAAAATGGTACGAAGTCAACAACCTAAATCATTCGTATAAACCATCAGAAAAAAATACGAGACGAAAATCTAACAGGACTACAGAGACCCTGAGGTATGCACTAAACAAGGCAAAGTTAGGCCTGAAAAATGAACGAAAACATGGTTGAAATACCATAAACATTCAGCTGAGATATACCCAAAACGGGGCTGAGAAGTCACAAGGAAAAAACGGAGATAAAAAGGGCCAGGCTGAGCTGAATTAAAAAGAAAAGAAATATTGTAAAATATCTAAAAATAATGAGTTGATTGACAACTTCATAACAACAGAAATAAAACGAAATTATGAACACGAAAAAAAAACACCTATTTTCCATAAATACACCTCCGTATTTTTGTTTCACACGTCTTCTCTTTGAAGAATTCTATGAATTTTAAGCTGAGTCAGATGAAGGAAAAATATTATCCTGAAAGGTGGGTGATAATTACTTTCCCGCGTGTTGATTCTGTTCGTACACGTGATTTCGTGCAGCCTATAATCAATTATTATTAATGGGCCATTTCAATGGAATGTTACCTCGTATCTGGTTAATGTTGAATTTATGTTCAAATAGTTTTCAGAGGCTTCTGTAGTTGTTACTACAACAAAGTTTTTTTTTATTGTTAGCAGTTTTTAAATACTTTCTTTTTCGCAAAATGATATCAGTTATTGTCGTTGAATTTAGTTGCGTTTCAATTTGAGAATAACCTAAAAGAATAGGTTCGACACATAGGCATTCATTTCACTCTATTCCAATATTACAGCAATCAGCGTGTCATAAACTATATACATTAAAACAAAAGCCCTCCTGAATTGTAATCAAGCCTGTAAATTATCTACCGCTTCGTTTTCTATACTATCTATACTAAAAAAATGAAAACATCAATGAAATGTATTTGTGCACATTACAGTTACTATGTCTTTGTAAAAAAATTATCCATGACTTTCTAAATCACACTGAAAAGCAGCTGTGTACGGGAAATTAAATATTAAAATTTCATTCTGCATTGTAGCTCTAAAACGGCCCAATTTTATTGTTCCGAAATGCAATCATTTTTATTTCTCGAAATCTTATTTTATTTTTGATATCTTTTCACAGTTTTCAAAATGTTACTCATCTCATTCCTCACTTTTTCTTCTTTGTCCCTTTTTTGCAATTGGTATAATTATTGTGATTTAGTATTTTGTATACAGAAGTCAAAATACTACTTTATTTTCATTTCGCTACCTTTATGGCACATTTTTTGCACGTTAAGCGTTAATTCTTCAGTTTTATAACCTCTAACATGCTCCAAATCTATTTTTAGGTCATAATTCATCACATGATTGAATTAAAATATTACCAATTTCTGAGATATAATGTGCCTTTAAAGATACATATTTTATTTTTGATATTTCATTACAGGCTATAACGGATCAGTGAAGCATTCAATATACAAAAATGTATATAAGTACGATCGTCCGATCGACGATATTTGTACAACTTTGAAATAAAAAAATACTTGCTAACAGTATAATAGATGTTTGTTGAAGTAACAACTTATTTTATATTTTAAAATTAAAATATAACGTGAACTGAACTTACAATTTGCGCTGTCACTTTAACGTAACACCAAAAATGCACAGTTAATTTTGCTGTTAAGCATAGACATAATTATCCATTTCGATTTTCTATAAATCAACACTCATATGCTATATAATGAAAACTAATAGAATAATAGACAGATTGGTGAGATTGGGTCTCTGATAACATTGGTTTATCCACTTCCGGTCGGAATGGCTTCAGGCTAAATTAATTACTAATTCGGAAAGCTGCTGTGAAGCAGACTGACCCATTTTATGTAATGTAACACATTGTCTAATTAATAAAGCGAAATTAACAAAGGTTTGCAATAAATGCATGTATTGACAACCGAGTATGTTCGCGGCGAATTAACATTCACTAATGTCTTTATTAAAAGGCACGAAATATCTTCTTTTGCTACGAGAACGTCCCTGCCACGACGTTTATAAATGGTTAAATATATTGCAAAAATAAATTGAGCCGCGTCACGACAAAACCAACATAATGGGTTTGCGACCAGCATGGATCCAGACCAGCCTGCGTATCCGCGCAGTCTGATCAGGATCCATGCTGTTCGTTTACAAACCCTATAACAAGTAGAGAAACTGATAGCGAACAGCATGGATCCTGATCAGACTGCGCGGATGCGCAGGCTGGTCTGGATCCATGCTGGTCGCAAACCCATTATGTTGGTTTTGTCGTGACGCGGCTCAATTACTGTCGCCTAGTGAGATGAAGAATGTTCCCTATAATATTTATTATGAAAACAAACACATAAATATTATTGTTTTTATATAAACACACTTTAAAGCACGAATTTACACACTTGTTTTTTCCCCGTTTCTAAGCTGTTAAATAATCAGGCACAAAGTAACACGGAAACTTCAAACACAATTTATACACTTGATCACGCAGTAATTTAAAAAAATACATGTCTATTGCCAATTTTGACTGATAATAACATCGAAAACAAGTCTGAAGTGAAATTAATTAATTAAAACACAAAATGGATTAGTTTTATTTTGAGTTTACTCTAGTGTACCATCTTTTTAAAAATGTAGAATTGCTACTCAGAAAGTTTCGAATAACCCGATTAGTTAAAAAAAACTAGCCCGACTTGAGCGGAACATCATAATTATGTATTGAAAAAATATTTAGAATACCTTTTATCAAAACATTGAGAGAATCTGTGCCAATTTTACTGAGTCAGAAACAGAAGGGCGACTTCGATTATTGGCCCACTGGGAATTAAATATACTCGTGTACAAAAATAAATCACAGAAAATGAAGATATATAATACTACATCAAGATTGGTGAGCAGCGGACACATAAACCGTGATTATATAGGTCTGTTTCGTGAAACATTTCAGCATTTTATATGCAGTATGTAGTTTTAAATACAACTTAATATAAAATATGTTGTTTCATATTCATATTCCATTTCTCGTATGTTTCCCTTAAATCAAGTGATTGATTTCAACATATTAACACATCTTTAAGATTCTTGATATGAAAATAACAACAAAAATGTGCAACGGAAATATTGCATAGAAAATAAGCATAGTTAAGGTAAGTATAAAGTTAAATACGTGTACAATATAATGGTAAAAATCAGTTGATAGCTATCAACTTATTTAATATCTTATAAATTAATTTAGACCAGATTCTTCGTGCTAAAATAGTATATAAAGTAAACAGGCATCCATTGCATACACAATAACATATACACATTAACACATCCATAATAACGCATTCGTAACAACACATTCACAACAACGCATCCATAACAACGCATCCACAATTAACATATCCACAATTACGCATCCACAACAATGCATTCACAACAACACATCCACAACAACGTATCCACAATAACGATCAACAACAACGCATTCACAACAGCGCATCCACAATAACGCATTCACAACAACGCATACACACCACCACATTCATAACAACGCATCCACAACAATGCATTCCAAACAACACATCCACAACAACGTATCCACAAATACGTTTCACAACAACGCTTTCACAACAGCGCATCCACAACAACTCATTCACAATAACGCTCTAAAACAAACGCATTCACAACAACGCATCCACAATAACGTATGACTATTACTATATATAGATGAACAACACATTCACAATAACACATCTACAACAACACATCCAAAATAACCCATCCTGAACAACACATACTCAATAATACATCTACAACAACACATACACAATAACACATCTACAACAACACATACACAATAACGCATCTACAATAAGGCATCCACAATAA